TACAATTTGAACGAAAAAGCATAAATTTCTGAGTAAAAAACAAACAAAACTAAAGTGCCTCGCATGCACTCAGTTTTGCTCTCCAAGAATAATTTAGGGAACCCAGCAAAAAAATTTTGCAGTAGTGCAAAGGAAATGTAAGATTCATGACTTCTTTAATAACAGTGCTAATACAACTCATTCTAAATGACTTCCTAAATTCAACCTATTCTGCAGTTAAAAAATTTGTTTAAAACTTAAAAAATTAATTCAGGTTGTTAATTTAACCAAATGAGATTTATGTGTCATTAGAAATAATTTTTGTTATTAATAGTATTTTATGTATGTAGTATTTTTAAAAATATTTAAAATGTCTTCCAAAAACACATACAAAAGAAATAGCTTAAACCCATGAAACATCGTTTTCGAATCATCGAATTTGCATTGGTTCAATTATTCGAAATTCTAGCATAAACACATGATATCCAATGACACGCTAATGTTAAAATCATGCATGTTTCACCTTCGAACCACTTCGTCATCGCTTGCATCTCTGATTAAACAACATCTTAGTCATGTAACTTTTTGCTGGGAAGGCAAGTATTTTTAATATTTTTTACAAGTGCGATGTTAAATAAATCATTTTTTTGCACTTCTCTATAAATTGTTCTTTATTCTATTTGAAATACAATTGTATCTTCAGGGCCTATCACAAAATCTCAACCGGATTGAGGCCAGTACTTTGGGCTGACCATTTAATCAATGAGAAATTTTGTCAGTTAAGCCATTTTCATGATGTTTGACGTGTGCTTTGAGTCATCATCAGCGTTGCCACTGACCAAATTTTAAACCTACCAAAATTTTGTCAAAAAACTGCCAAATTCATTTAAAACCTACCAAATTTTGAAAATCATATAAAATTAATTTTTGAGAAAAGTATGACTTATTTATTAAGGTATAAATATATGCATATATAAATATATTAGATCTAACAATATTGGCAGAAAATTTTTCAGAAAATGTCTATCGTTCGTGTCAACTTAAAACTTTTAGACATTTTCGGAACATTTTTCCGCCATCTTTGTAAGATCTAAAAACCATGTATCACAGCTTTTATGATACATTTATTTCTTGAGATTCTTTTTTAATCTGTATAGGGAAACGTCCTTGTAAAACCCAAACGACTTAGCAACAGAAAATTTTTATATTTTGTACCTAATTACAAGGATTAAAATGTTTCGATTAAATTTGCTGTATATAACTGTATCCAGACCCAAAACAAAACGGAAAACTTCTGGAAAATCATTCTAATGTTCAAAAATATGTTGGTTATGTAGCAATTGTAAACAAATTTACCCCCACTCAGTTTGAAGTACCCAAAAATCATAATATTGGTTCCCTAACTGCCACATAAAATAGCCAAAAATAATATTAATATGGACCTGTTTGTTTTGATGCAGTGGACCAATAAAAAAGTTTTCAATATTTTGGTTATTGTTTCCCTTTGCATTTCAGATGACTACTTAGATACAATTCGTCATAAACTACATATTTCTTTGTTTCAGAATTTCTGACAAAATTTTGCCTAGCTCCCACATTAAGTCATTCTCAAAAAATTACGATGAAATTTGTGATAAAATTAACATAAATTGTTTTAGGAAATTAATGGCTCTAGAAAAATCTGTTGTTTTCAATCCTCAATCCTTCAATCCTGTTATAAGGCGCTATTCCAAACTTCTTTTAATGATTCAAAATTGTAATAAAATTTTGATATACGAAAATTTTAATATTTTTATACAGGAAATAAATGTATAATTAAATTGTTAATATTCTTTAAAAGTATGTATGTGTTTTGACAAACCTACCAAAAATCGATTTAAACTACCATCCAACCAAATGAAAAAAAATCCTACCAAAACGGGGAGAAATTAATTATTCCCCAGTATAACGATGAATCAAAATATAGAGAAGAATGTGTATTGTGGTCAGGACTTTGAATTAGACACTGGTAGTTAGTTAGTTAGTTTGAAAGGAGGATGAATATACATCAAATCCGAAGAAATACACCTAGGCCTCTATCGGGCCTGTTGTGCGCTCCTTAACCAGTGCCTCAGGTGGGAATCGAACCCACCAGCTCCGGTCAACCAGACTAGAACACTAACCACTAACCTACCGGAGGCCACTAGACACTGGTAACAATAGAAAAGTACAAAATTTTGCTCGCTTATTTGATACTCTCAGGGCCACAATCTCAATATCCGATTATCGTTTAACAGATAGATAAATAATTTTTGTATGAAAACCTTTAATATATCGTTTCGATAAAAAAAATAACAGGTTAAAGTATATTTAAAATTTTAAATTGCAAGAGTGTTTTAGCACATTGTAATATAAATTCTCAAAAATGCATCAACTAAAAGCCGTTTTTTTCTAAAAAAATAATAATAAAATTATAAACGGCTAATAAAGTTGTACATATTTTTATCTTGATTGACATTATATGAATATTAATGTTATTAAAATTTCATTGTTAATATTTTATGAGAAAATTACCAGAAATTTAAATTTTGAAATAATATTTGACTTTAAAACAAATGATTTCCAAATGATAGGAACTCGAAGGATTCAATCTACTATAAAACGATATGTTTTGAAACTAAGCATTTAACCAAAGATAATATAAGAAGTTTTAGGTCAAAAATATTTGGACTTTTAAGCAAATTATTGTTTCATGTCATATTCAGAATCGGATGTACAAGTAAATGTCCTATTTAAGGTCCCACGACGGATTTTAATTCAATAACACATATTTAAGCGATTTATTGACAATGAACAGTCGATATTAATACTTGTAGCTCAATTATTAGCATTAAGTTGAAATTCTAAATTCGTCCTTTTATATGGCGAAATGTGGCCTGATTTTAATTAATGCCGGATTTATTAAAATATAATAAATTATATCATGACAGCTTTAAATTTAAGATAGTACAATATCTGGCTAATATTTGAGATGTAAAAGGTGAACATTCACGCAGAGAAAAAACATGGTTCAAAATGGTTACTGCAACTATCCCATGTTTACTGTAACAATATATTGTTTTCAAAAACATATAATTGTTATTTTAATTAGATTTTAAAAATATTTAAGTTACTGTAAACATTTTCATGTTCCAGGCAATTATAAATTTGAGTATAATTCACTGAATCATAATTATTTTTACAACAACTAAATACTGATAACAAGGAAAACATATTATGTTATTAACAACCATTTAAACTTGCAAATAACCATAATATGTTATGTTATATAACCATTGTATGTTATGTTGTTATAAATAACCATTATATGTTATGTTGTTATATGTCTGCTGATACATCAACAAATTAATACAACAACAAAACAACTTTTGCTCACACAGATTACTTTTTCGTGTGTGTTTTTTACGCGACAATAAAATGAGTTGAAATAATTCTCATTTGGTTTATAGCATTAAATGTATAAGTATTTCAGTTTGCATAGAATAATGTAGTTATGTTTTTGTGAATCAAATTGAAATTTGCGAAGTGTGTTAAGTATTGTATGTTATCTTTATTTATATTTTTTTAGAAACTGTAATTTTGTGATTCAGTAAAATTTATTTTGATTTCGATACATATTTTTAAACGAAATTTTGAACACATTGGATCATAATATGATCATGTATAATAATATTATTATGATAAATAGGAAAATATTATGATGAAATATTTTAACGGTATTTAATCATAATATGATATTTTAAATTTGTTACAATAACGATATTATGCTAAGACTACAATCATAATTTTAACCATAATATGTTGCTCTTAGAACATGGTTACCACAACCATGTTTTTTCTCTGCGTGTTGAGGGACGGACAAGGATTCATCATATTAACATATAATGCCTTTCTACTTCTGTTATGGATTGTTAAAAAAAAATTAAATGTAAATGTAGTTAAGAAATTGTCATTATTTAGCAAAACAAATATTTTAGTACTTTGAGATCCAAGAAAGTACTCTCTGAAATATTTTTTGATACTGACATAAAATCTCATTTTCCATCCCTGGATTTGACCAATGGAAATAATCGAAGAAATATTTAGCAAAGAAGACTATCTGAGTATTTTATAGACTCATCATTCCGATTTGTTAGACTCATTATCCCTATTTGGTAAGTAAAAGCGCCAATCCTGTGGCAGAAGTAAAGTTTTAATAAAAAGTCCACATATAGCATTTATAAAAATCGCAGAGAATGATGTTTTCAATCCGGTTGAAAATTTGTGCTGAATAATAAAGTAACGGTTGAGATAATACGGAGTAACCCCAACCAATTTGGAGGAGCTTTGGCAACGGGATCAGCGTGAGTGGGTGAATATTTCAAATAGAATAAAGAACAATTTATATAAAAGTGTCCTAAAAGTGCAAAATGTGATTTAGTTAATATCGGACTTTGTAAAAAATATTAATAATGCCAGCCTTCCCAAAATATTTCGTGGCGAGCAAAACTGAGTGCATGCGAGTTATTTTAGTTTTGGTTGTTTTTTACTCAGAAATTTATGCTTTTTGGTTCAAATTGTAATTCATCTTGTTAAAAATTATGTAAAAAAGAAATCACAAAAAAATTTTGGATTTGATTTTTTAATTTAATTTTTATTCCAAATAAAGTGCACAAATTACAAACATGCACTCACCAGTGTATGTAACATTATGTATATGCGTCAAAATAAAGTGGGTAGTGAACCCATATTCATAAAAAGTCCGAGGTTTGGTTTTGTGCGAGAAAGGGACAAAGAGGCCTCCTTTAGAAAAATACTTCAACGATCATTACTGGCTTAAAACTACAGTAATAGCAATGAAATTCGGCAAAAATAAGATTTACATAAACTGAAATCTCTTCACAAAGTTTAATAAGGATCGGTCCATTATTGAACCCTACAAGAACTAAATATATAAAACTTTTTAACCAATACATAACTTAAAAATATATATATTTTGTGAATATTTTTTTAATTATAGTACATATAATTATTATTATTATTTAGAAAATTACAACCAATCTTGTTTTCTTTAATTTTTTATGGCACTGTATCATAAATATTTTCGGTGGTAGTGTGATGTTGACGTCTACCGCTTTCGTCAAATTGTGTGAGTTCCAAATCCATTTTATAGTTTCTTAAGGCTTTGTCCAAAATTTGCTCAACTGGAGAAAAAGTAGAACGTGAACGTAAACGTGCTTTAGTCATTTCCAAAGACTATAAAGAAATAAACAAATTTATTAATATTAAAACTAAAATAAAGACAAAAATCGGAAGTTCATTGCCATAGAATACAATATAAGAAGCGCTGTTTCCCGATAAAAGCAAAATTGGAGCATTTCATAAACTATTTTGCTTTTTATTACTGTTTAAAAGGACTTTCGAGATATTCGAATGAAAAAAAAAAACAAATACAATGTGTCTAACATACAAATTCGAATATCTTTGCTTTCGAATGGAATTACATGACAATTATTAAACACCAACCTTTAATAGATTTGCATTTCTTGTCATGGCCTCTTCAAATGTTAGTACTTTGTCCGTTTGATTTTTTTGTAATTTTTCCATTGCCACAGCATTACATTTTTCAAATTTTATTTCATCGCGTTTGCTGTCGTCAAAAATAGAAAAATAATTACACATATTTTTATTTTAATTTTCTAAATTACTTACATCTTTTCTAATTTATTGTCAACCTCAGCTTCCAGAGCTAAATATTTTTCATTTATTTCTTTTATTAAATCCATTTATTTTTATGCACAACGTTTCTAGTAAGAATTGCTTATTCTGTTTTGTTTGTAAATAAATAATAATAATAGAAGTTGCTAAGATACCATTCCATTAACAACCCTTGATAAGCTTTTCACGTATTCTGCATAATAGGTGTTATTTAAATTAACCACATTTCTCTTTTAATTTTTCTTTGCTGGTAATACTAATCATTAATTTCCTTTCTTTTATAAAAATTTCAAAATGGCAATGATATTCTTCTTATAACAGTTAATTTTTTTTTACACCTGGCAAGGCTGCCAGGTGTAAAAAATAATAATAAGTGATGCCAGATCTTCACATACACTAAGCATTCTCCGATAGTATATTAAAACAGCGATTTATAAAATATATACCCAAGTTTATGTTTGATGTCGTTTTAAACAATATTATATTTCAGAATGATTAAAGAAATTTTATTTAAGTTCTGATATATATACAAATGTACATATTTTTATGCGATGTTTTGTAGTTTAAAACCAAAGAATATAAAGAAATTGGGGCTTGTCATTTGGTACGTAAAGGAGTTGTCATTCGGTACCTAACTCTAAGTATGTATTGGTAGAATTTTTGTATTAGTATTTGAGCTCCAACCACTTTCACCACACTTTCCAAACATACATACTTGCATAAAATCGTACATAAAAATTTTAGGAAAAATAAATAACATTTAAATTTCTACATTCGCAGATTTTTTAATTTATTTTGCCCACATCTAATCAGTAAACATTTAATAAATATATTTTTCGGACTTAAAATCTCTTTTTTTGCAAAAAAATATGTTTATTTTAAATAATTTTTTAATTTTCAGTACCAAAATATACAACTTTGTTTTGTCAATTTTAATTTCAACACACAAAAATTAATTGTCAAAAAAATTAAAAAATTATTTTTTTAGTTTATGAAAAATAAAAATATTTCGGATTGTTAAATGCAATAAAATTGTGTAAAAAAATTAAAAAATAGTTATGTGTTTGTGAAAAAACGTCGTTCAAGTCCTATTATCCCGGTATTTTCGTGAAAAAGTTTTGAAGTATTGTGAGAGAATTGAGTTCTCACAAGTGTGTTGAATTTACACAGAACTCGTCTGTGAAGAGAAGGAAATGTTATTGTTGTAAAACAATGTCATAGTCCAACTTCTTATTATTCTTTGTTTTGTAGTTTAAAACTATTTTACATAAATAAAATCGCTACCCTACAAGAACAGTGACAGTCATTTGATAGGTCATTTGACTGGCACTACTGACGTATTATTTCTATCACAGCGTAAAGCAAAGTTTCTATCAGTTTCTTAAGGCAAATGGACAAAAGTGATGGAAACATTTGTGTACATGTGATTTTTCTTCTCCCTTGCACTTATGAATTCTATCGATTTTAAAACATATATTTGAGCTCCTCACTCTTTTGTTGTTTACTAATCAAGGATGACATAAATATTAGTCAGGATTGACTGATCATGCTTGATGGATATATCTATCACAGTTAACAAATTAAAAATGATGTATTTATCGGTCATTGTTGACTAATCATATGTGATGAATATATCCGTCAAATGTGACGGCTATACCAATTTATAATAAAACACAATTTATTAATATTTTAAGATATATATTTGTTAATTTTATTAATATAATAAGCATGTACATAAATTAACAATCATTTCACCATTTTACATACATTGTGGAAATTTGTGGAAATAAATTGTCTGTAAGAAATACATATAAATATCGAAATATAAAAATTAAAAGTAATCATGTTACTTACCATAGATTGATTAAACTCCGCAGTGTATATCTTCAGCTCCACTTCCTGCACTATTTTTAAATTCTGTTTATAATAATTCTCTTTATTTGCAATAATTTATAGACTTTGTAAATTTTTAAATTTTTCGCTTCTTGATCTTTGGCTTTTACAGAAATAATTTATAACGTCGAAAAATATAACTCTAAACACAGTAACAGTCAAATGTAGTTGTTTCACTCTTTCATAAGCAAATGAAACCCTTTACCACACATTGGGTACATCAACAGTCATTTTACCGGTCATTTGACTGTCATTATTGATGGAATTATCCATTAACTATTTTTTTTAGCAATTTTATAAAAAAAATGTTGCAAGAGTGTTAGTGAAATCATTTTGTATGTGTTAGTTTCGGTCATACATTTCTTGTAGGGTAGATTACCATCTTCATTTACTGTTCAAACAGCTGACAGTTTGTTTGTATTTTTTTTCATACCGGTAAAAAAACAAAATCTACAAAAACAATAAAAACAACTTGCTGGATTTAACAGAATCTTTAGAAAATCCATGTTTTTGTTAATACTCTTGTTGGACTGCATCTATCTTAATTAGTTTGACCGGCAAAATATTAAATAAAATGCAGTGGCGGCGCTACGTCTTTATAATTATATTCGCAGTTGTTTTTTGTGAGTTTCTTGGAGATTTTAATACACTTTGGACTTGTCAATGGCCAAAAATAAACCCAGATAAATCTAAAGAAAATGAAATCAATTCCAATACACTGCATGCTATGCTAATAGCTGATACCCATTTACTGGGTCCCATGAAAGGACATTGGTTGGATAAACTCTATCGTGAATGGCATATGAGGCGAGCATTCCAGGCAGCTATACTCATACATAAACCAGATGTAGTATTTGTATTGGGAGATCTATTCGATGAAGGTGATATGGTGGAACATGAAGATTTCAAAGAGTACGTTAGGAGATTCCATAGTCATTTTCATGCTCCACCTTCTATACCCGTCATTAGTGCGGTGGGCAATCACGATGTTGGTTTCCATTACAAGTAATAATATACTACAGGTTGTTTTTGTTTTGTGTTTCCTATTTGCGTTTTTGTATATTCCAGAATGCATCCATATTTTATTGATCGTTTTGAGCAAAATTTCAATAATACCGGTGTTCAAATGTACTCCATACGTGATAACCACTTCGTCTTTATTAATTCAATGGCCATGGAGAATGATGGTTGCGAATTTTGTGAAAATGCTATAAAGCAGTTGAAAAATGTTGCAGGTAAGTATTTAGCTACATATTTATAAAGATTAGACCCGACCTCAAAAGTAATACTGACAAGTCTAAAGAAAATAAACTATGATTTCAAATATATTTATACCATAAAATAAACTAAGTAAAAAAGATGTAATCGGTCATGATAGTAGACATGCTTTGATCAATTGATTCAAATTTGGATTACTTAGGCATTTTAGGAATTCGAAGAATTGTCTCAACATTTTTCACTGATAGTGAATGTTTACTTATGAATAATTATGTTTTAAAAAAATTCCAGATAAATTAAACTGTCTTAAAAATCCTAAAGATTGTACTAAAGCCCAAACTCTTAAAGACAGCCAGCACTATAGTCGTCCCATAGTTTTACAACATTTTCCCACTTATCGAGTATCCGATAGAGCATGTAGACAACATGATGCTCCACACATTGAAGAATATCGCGAAAAATGGGAAGTTTTATCAAAAAATTCTACAGATTGGTTGGGTAAGAAAATCATGCCTTAATCCTAAACAAATTTATTCCTAATTTTTTACACAATTAAATTAAGGAAAATTACTTCATCCTCGTTTATCATTTGCCGGTCATACGCATAATTATTGCTATTCCATCAATCGTTGGGGTATTGAAGAGTATACAGTGGCTTCATTTAGTTGGCGCAATAAAGTTAATCCTAGTTTTCTAATGGTAGAGAATATCTTTTTTTATCAATTTATTATAAATTATAATTTTAAATATTTTTATTTATTTAACAGGCTACCATTTCCCCCACAAAACATGAAGTTTTCAAATGTAACATGCTAGAACAGCAATTAGTTTATAGTACTTATATAATTTCTTTAGCTGTTTTAGCGCTGTTACTTATTTGGGATTGCATAAAAATGTTACAGAAATTGTGTGTGAAAACAAAAGTTAAGAATAAAATAAATTAGTTTTTAAAACGTTGCATGACCTCATTTGGAGAAAGTAAAATTTTGTACGTTAAGAAGTTTAATATAAAGTTTTTGAATGAAAATGAGTTAATAAAATTAACGATAAAACTAAATCATAATATAGACATATGTACATGAACAACTTGAAGAAATAATTTTAACATATAGAATAGTCACTAGTACAAATCTGTAAAAACCTTAAATTAATGTGGATGATCAAAAACAAACTAAATATGAGCATCAAATCACCCGATTTCTGGTGTTAAACTTATATTTGAGTAATTGAACTGGAACTAGGGAAATAGGTTGTCGGAGGGAGGATATAGGGCGGATGAAGAATGAATTTTCCCTGTAATGTGTTGTTGGGTCCACTGGCCAAACTACCACAAATGGGTGTGTTTTTGATGAGAGTCGTAAAAATATACTGGTATCGGGAACGAGTTCCTTATTTTCAGAGGATCAATTTCCATTATAGTAACGATAGAACAGTGAAATACACCCCACGTTGCGACGGTGATCCAGTGAATCAAGAGATTTTGATACCCTACTGTCACCGATAAGTACCTTCGTCATCTCTTGTTCGCGGTGGAATAGCTCCAAAACTTTGGTCAATTTTAACTACTAATCATGTGGAAATAACAGAATTTTATAGGCGATACCTTGAAAGGTAAGAAACTGATAACTTTCAATTTATTTTTTTTATAATATGGATTTATTAATTTAAACTCCAACAATAATTTTGGAAAAAAAGATGAATATAATCTTTAAAAAAGTAAACATACCAAGATGTAGTTAATTAATTTTAATGTGGAGACTTTTTGTAAATTTTATTTTCATTGACTCTGTTGATCGCAGTCTACTAGGTTTTTTCTAGGGAAATCACTCATTTCTACGATTGGGTTTTAAAGAATTGGCTCGGTATATTTTCTGGGTTAAAACCCCTTGAGAATAGAACATATTTTCCATTTATCTTTCCTCTCTACCTGTTTTCTTTCTTGCTTGTTTTCTTCTAGTATTCTTGTTTCTCTGTTTTTGGATCTTTACTTTCTTTGAAGGGAATCTCCGAGTGGATGTGCACCTTTTTATGGTTGCTTTGTTGAAAAATAATTAGAATTGGTTCAAAGTTTCATACAAATGTACACATTCCCGGAAAATCCTTAAATTGTAATTAACTCCTTATGGAAGATTGGTATTACCATTAAAATTTACATTTTTCAAAACTTTTTTCTTAGTTTTCTTATTTTTTTATTTAGTTTTATGTCTTACATTTAAAGGAAATAAACATTAACGTTAGAAATTAACTTAATATTATAACTAAAATAATAAGTACAAGATCAAATAATTTGGAAATATTTAAAATCTGTTCATTTCACAAAAACAAAAATGATTCAAACAATTTATAATTAAAAAAATTGCGGAAATTTTTAAATTAAAATTTTACTTAATATTAATTATATTAATTAATATTGAGTATAATATTAATTATATTATACTCATAGTAATAGTTTAACACATTTTTAGTTTCTTAAAAATCTTTTTATTATAAATTTACAGAAATGAGGTCAATTATTATTATGTTAAGATAACTCCCTGTATTACCCTATTAAATGCTTTTTATTAAAAAGTTATAAATTTTTAAAGTTTAAAAAAGGCGTGATATTATTGCAGCTGCCTTTAGACATATTTTCAGAAGGGGAATATATATTTTTTGTTAGAATTTATGGATAAAATAGCAAACTCCAATTAAACAGTTCAAGAAACAAATTAAAAATAGTCTTAAATGTTATTAAGTAAACGCCATTTCTTTTCTCAGCTAATTTTAAATATATTGTAAAACTTAAATAATATTTAACATGAAAAATTACTTAGGTCCATTACTAAAACTTCGTAGTAACTAAAGGTAGGATTTTGTATTGCCGATAATTTGTTTCACGTTAATTTATGTATAATGGAAGATAAGCAGGCAGATATCCTTGTACTTTAGCGATATTCTTTGACTAAAGTTTATAATAATTAGAAACGATTTATCTGTATTATAAAATCCTACCTCTAGTTATTGCCAAATTGTAATAATGGGCCTTAAATTATTAAACAAAATAATAAGTATAATTTATGTGTATGTAATCTAATAAGATTGGTAATAAAAAATAAAAGCTTTAAATTATGTACGATTTATATGCTTGGATTGTACCTGTACAATTGCACTTTTTGAAATGAAAAAAATAATAAGAAATTTGTTTGTATACAAGCATGTGTTTAGATAAATACAAATTATTATTACTTACATATAGAATAATTAATGTTTAAATGACCAATAATATATTAACATGTTGATTATATTCACATAATTTACAATTAGCTTTTAACCCTAAATTTGGCAAGGTATTTCTAATAGTTTTTCCTATAAACACTTTAATATTTTTCACTATTGTCTGTACTTCCATCTAAATCTGTTAACTTGCTGCTGCCATCACTTAAAAGATAGGTTAATGTTTGAGCGGTATTTTCTCTTGTTATATCGCCGTCAGTACTCGATGGTGGAAAACATTCTTTTGGTAAAAATCTGTTAATGGAAATGAGAAAGAAATTGTTGTTATACATTTTCTAAAATCATTGATTTTATGCGTCAAAGCTGCTTTAGAATTAATTCTTTAAATTGTTTTTAATTCAATTATCTTTTAAAAAAATCATTGATTCTTTTTGTAAACAAATATTTGTTTATATAAAAAATTTAAAATATTTTATAAAAAACTAATCAGTTTTTAAATAAACCGGTTGTAAAACAATGAAATTCCTGGAAAATTCTGTACCTAATCATGATGAATTAATTTGAATTAATCAAATCAAAAAAAAAATCATTTTACGTTGTTTAAAATTAAATTAAAATTGCAAGATCATTCAATTCTAATAAAAGGATTTAAAAAATAAGCACAATCATTCTTGGGAATTAAATCAGTGGAATTTTAAGCCAAAAAAAAGCTTCTGAATTATTCACAGAGAATGATTTTTAAGAATATACTTCAGGCTGAACACAAGATTAGAATTAATCAACGATATTTTATATGAAAAACAAAATTCAAAAAAGATCTTATAAAATTATAAAATTACCTATGAATCACTGGCGATATGACATCAGCATCTAATTTCTTCACTACTGTTGGACCCGTTAGGAATGAAACTATTGTGCCCACTATAACGGTAGTAAGTACACCAATAGGATTAATCCAATGGAATGACAGGCGATATAAAGGAAAGACATCTGATTCGTCTACAGGACTGGAAGTACTGTTGCTAAACAATGGAAAATCACTAATAGGACAATCCGACACAGAAACGGGAAGTTTAACAGGTACCACCTGACCCTGGGCAAAGGCTATTTGTGAACCAAATGAAATCCAGCCAGACATTAAAGCACCTGCCAAGGCACCAGCCAAAGCTCCTTTATTATTGCTCCATGGCACTAACATGCCCAATGTAAATATACCACAAGTTGTGCCAGCAGCTATAGCAGTCACCGAAGTGGCCACACTTAATATACCGCTTAATTGTTCTAAGACAAAAACAAGTGATACAGCCACACCTCCAAGAACAATAATACAACTCTTTACCAATATAGAGGAAGCCTTTTCGGATAATTTCAAGTGGAAGCAGCCTTTAACAATATCTTCCAAAATAACCAAAGCTGTTGAATTCAAAACCACCGAAAGCGAGCTAAGAGCAGCACCAAAGACACCGGCTATGAACAGACCAGGTATGCCATGTAGATTTCCCACAGTTTGCATTACATAAACGGGTAAAAGTTGATCATCATGCTGCAAATATAAACAATTTTATATAATTTTTACAATATATCGAACAGCAAGCTTCCTTACCGTGATTAAGCCGGAAGACAAGGGATCGCAATCTTTATAGAAATTATACACCAACAAGCCGGCGAAACAACACACAGATATGAAAAGCACAATACCAACGGTAAAAATAACTATAGAACATTGAGCCTTTTTCAAGGATGGCAATGACATATAACGTTGGACCATTGTCTGATTAACGGAATTAAAAGAAGTCCAATAGAAGAAGCCACCAATCAAAACACCCCACAATGTCTGGCGATCATAAGGCGAGGGGTTAATACTACAAAATAGAAAAATATATAAAAAATTTATATTTTAACTTGGAAAAATATTTCATTAATAAACATACTTGGCAAATATTAAGCGGCCACCTTCAGAGGCACTTTGGAAGACATTACCAAAGCCATGAGCATATACAGTACCAAATATAACTACAACCAAAACTGATAAAAACATGACCAAAATTTGCCAAGCATCAGTATGAACCACAGCTTTGATACCTCCCTGCAGAAGAACATAAAAAAATATATTTAAAAGAAAATTTAAAAAATTTATTTTAAAAATCATTAATACTTACAATTAGTGTATAAAATACACAAATTACACAGATCACACTACTTATAATGTGAATATTAATACCAGTTACTAGAATTTTAAAGAAAAAGTTTAACAATTATTTTAAATACATTTTTCCAGGGAATAATAATAATTTTATAAAAAAAAAAAAACAATTATTACAGAAATTTTCTATAACAAAGACAAATGCAAAAAATTTACTTTATCACATTTTTTACATTTTCCTTATCAAAATAATTGTTTAAATTGTTTATTAATGGTGTTATAAAAAAAAACTTACCTTGATTAAATGCTATCGCAGGTACATATAAAATAATTGGCAAGAAAAACATCTTTAAAAAAAGTAAATATTTTATAAATTAATATTCGTTTTTTTTTTAATGTATGTGTATGTATATGACCTACCTCATCCATCACAAACATTATAGAGGCAATACTACGTACAGCGGAACTGAAACGCACCTCTAAATACTGAAAGGAAAAAGAACAGATATAAGTATATTTAATGGCCAATATCATAGACGTTTAGTTTAAAAAGTTTGTATACCAAAGGTATCTCCAATCGGAGACCCAAAGTTCAATTCTGATTCCCTTTAATAAAGAACAAGGAAAAATAAAAAGAAGACAGAAGAAAAGAGAAAGATGAGAAGAGTGAGAATTATCCTCCAAAAAGAACAAAGAATAAAAGTGGTCATGGAAGGAAAATCCCAAAATGTCCGTTATCTGAAAATCCAAAATATTCCAATGATGAAACCCAGAATGTCGCCTAAGATGTTCTTAGTTCATCGTGGAATCTTTTGCCTAACCATTTCAGTCTCAGACTCTGTATTCTGGGACAGTGGCATAAAATATGCCCTACTGTCTCCAGTTCCTCTTCGTCCTCGCACAACCTGCAAAAATCCTGTGTGTTACCGACCTAAAGGATCCAATTGCGCAGTGTCCGGTTATTACCCCTACTAAAATCCTTATACTCTTCCTGTCAAGTCTTAATAGCACTCTGGTTGCTTTTGGATCTAACTTCGAACATATTGTCCTAGAAACCCTACAATCCAGACTACTGTGCCAAGATCGGTTGGTGGAGTTTTTGAAATATTCAGAGATTAGCCCATAGTAATAACAAATGGGGGATTTTACCGAACCGATCCTACTACCAGACATATAAGAAAACCTGCCGCGGAATACAAGAATAGTTAAGGCGCAACTAAGATCGGTATAGAGCAACAGAGCCTACTACTCACGCATAGACCGTGCCGATCCCAACGAATGTCCAGCATTTGGTAAGGGTTCCCATGATACCCACCACATTCAACTGTTCAGTTGAACACTTGATTTTTAATAACCTACACCATTTAATGAGAAGAGAAAAAAGAAAAAACTCTGTTTAATAGTTAAACATATAAAAAAATAACTGTTTTTATTGGAGTTGCCACTCCCACTAATTTAATTCCGCCCATTTTGATATAAATTACGTAAAAAGGATATTAAATTATTCGTGCACAGTTTTGGGACACGACTTCTTCTATATACATATTAAAGAAAAATATTAATTTTAATACAAGATACTACGCCCACTATTCAGATCGCGATCATTATTATTTCTAATTAGTTGATTCTTGCAATGTTTAGATAACAGTTAAATATCAAGCTGTTAAATATTTATCGAAAGACGCGTGCTTTCTGACCCCGCCCATTTGAATTCCAACTACCCATAATGGCAATAGTGTAATAATTACAAAATTGTACACGCTTTCATTAGATTCTATAAAAATGTCAGAAACTTCGTCATAAAAGCCTCCTTTAAGACACAAATGACGTAAATTAATTTTATAACTAAAATGTCTACATATTTATTAACTTGTTTTAAAGTCGAAAATAATGATAATTTAGCTATTTTATACAGTTTGGTGTTTAATGACGCCGATTTGTGTATTTCGACCACTGTGAGTCGGTCTTATTGTTTGATTTTAAATTCATTTATTCGAATGAAATTGTTATTGTCTGAAGGGAATTCTTTTTAGCAGCGTATGAATAAATAGAAAATTTAAATTAGATTTTAAAAACAATTCATGTTAGTGCATCCCAGCAAAAAATAATTGATGTCATACTTTACAAACTACATCTTAATCACATCTTAAAATGCGATCACATATTTTTCACTTTTATAAATCAAATATTTCCTTACAAATGAAACCTCAGTTAAAAGTGAGGAAAGAGATGTGGAAAAGTCATTACAAATAACATATTTGAAGTACATCAAGATTTGGTGAAAGAGTAGTGAAATTTACATAAGCGTATCATTAAGAGAATGTGTTTTATTTTTGACATCCGAATATCGGATTTTTACTGCTTCTAAAAATAAGATCAGATGTAGTTTAAAGTTGCCAAAAATGAACAACATCCCTCCAATGACACGCTAATGTAAAATTCATAGGTTTTACACCCGAATTTGAAGCACTTCGGGTTACTAGTTGTGATGAAAATTCTACATCTTTTTCTACACTTTTTTTGCTGGGATTATATTAAAACAATTTTTTGAGTCAAACATATGATCATTAGCGTAACTCCCTATCACTACGTATTAAGCCAGTAGTGTTCTGATCAGGCATGGGGGGTAATGATTACACAAAGTAATTAATTACAAGGTCAATTACAATAACTTCCCAGCAAAAAAAGTGTGGAAAAAGATGTAGTATTTTCACCACAACTAGTAACCCGAAGTGATTCAAATTCGGGTGAAAAACCTATGAATTTTACATTAGCGTGTCATTGGAGGGATGTTGTTCATTTTTGACATCTATGAACTGGATCTAATCTTATTATTAGAAGCAGTAAAAATACGATAATTGGATGTTAAAATAAACCACATTCTTTTAATGACAGGCTTTTGTAAATTTCATTTCCCCATTTTTAACTGGGTTATTACTTGTGAGGAAATTTTTGGTTTCTAAAAGCGAAAAATATGTTATCGCATTTTTAGATGTGAATAAGATGTCGTTTGTAAAGTATGACTTAGGTTAGTTTTTGTTGGGAAATATTTCCTTACAAATGAAAGCCCAGTTAAAAGTGAGGAAAGATATGTAGAAAAGTCACTACAAATAACTTATTCGAAATACATCAAACTTTGCTGAAAAAACAATGAAATTTATATAAACATGTCATTGAAAGAATGTGGTTTATTTTTAACATTTAAATATCGAATTTTTACTGCTTCTAAAAATAAGATAAGATGTAGTTCAAAGTTGTCAAAATTGAACAACATCCAATGACACCCCAGCAGAAAAGTGTGGAAAAAGATGTAGAATTTTCATCACAACTAGTAAGTGCTTCCGAAGTGCTTCAAATTCGGGTGTAAAACCTATGAATTTTACATTTGCGTGTCATTGGAGGGATGTTGTTCATTTTTGGCAACTTTGAACTACATCTAATCTTATTTTTAGAAGCAGTAAAAATCCGATATTTGGATGTCAAAAATAAAACACATTCTCTTAATGACACGCTTATGTAAATTTCACTACTCTTTCACCAAATCTTGATGTACTTCAAATATGTTATTTGTAATGACTTTTCCACATCTCTTTCCTCACTTTTAACTGGGGTTTCATTTGTAAGGAAATATTTGGTTTATAAAAGTGAAAAATATGTAATCGCATTTTAAGATGTGATTAAGATGTAGTTTGTAAAGTATGACATCAATTATTTTTTGCTGGGTTGTAATGTGTAATTGAACAATAACCAATTACAATTACTTGTAATTGTAATTGAAATTTTTCCAATTACAATTACTTGTAATGTGTAATTAACAAATAACTAATTACAATTATTTGTAATTGTAATTGAAGTTTTGCCAATTACAATTACTTGTATTTGTAATTGAAATTTTCAATTACAATTACTTGTAATTGTAATTTAGGTATTACTAATTACAAATTACATGTAATTATAAGGAACAAAATTCACAATTACAAGTAATTGTAATTGGAATTTCTTCAATTACAATTACAAGTAATTGTAATTGGCAAAACTTCAATTACAATTAAAAATAATTGTAATTGGCAAAACTTCAATTACAATTACATGTAATTATGGTAATGGTAATGCTTCAATTATAATTACTTCAAATGTAATTGTAATTGAAAATGTAGTCATTACCCCCCAATCAGAACTTCTGATAACAAAAACGTTTCACTCAGGTCATTTTGGCGCAAATCGATTTTCTAAAACCTTTTAGAAAATAAATACAAATCTATGTATATGGAATTGTTAGGGCCGATTTGAAATTTTCAGAAATTGCCATGATCTATCTCCGATACTTATGGACCAATTTTAAAGGTTTCAAATAGTAAAGATTTGGATTCCAATGATATCTGGGGCCTCCAACAAAAACGATTTTAATATTTATAAATTTATAAATTTTTTGTAAAAATTTAGTCAACTCTAATATACATATACGAATTACAATAAAGAAGTTTTTTGTTTTCAAAACAGAGATTTATGAAATAAAGTGTTAGATTTCACAGTAATTGGCAATATTTTTGAAACAAATTTAATAAAACTTCTCACATTTTATTAATTATTTAACCGGGAATCACAATAAATCACATTATTCTCTAGGTAAAGTTTTTTTTTACAAAACCCCAAATATCAAATGTTTCCTTTGTAAAGACATGAGTTAACACTTCAAATCCGATGTCATTTACCTCCGGGGTATATTTTTAAGTGCTTGTCTCTCATTTACATGAAATCGACAAGCTCGATAAACATTTCTTTTGTATATTTTAAATACTTTTTCATAGAATTATCAAAGGTAACAAAAAACAAAGACGCGTGTTGTCGAAAATAAATTAAAAACCATAACAGTCTGGTTCTAACATTATATTAGCAGTCAAAAACCCCCAAACAAATAAAGCCGAAAAAACATAACCAATTAGCAAAGGCGTTAATAAATCCATAAAAACTAATTAGCTATAATAAAAAATACTTTATCTACTTGATTCATAAAACTTAATACATCTTTGAGTCTACAGTTTGGGACTGATAATGAAATATTATTTAGAAATTATTTTTAATCGTTAATGTTTTCTTTAACAGATAAAAATATAAACATTTAGTCAAACAACTAGCTAGTATTGCAATTTTATCATATTGCAGTAGAATTTTGATAAAATTGTTTGAATATTTTTAAATAAATTTATTTTGATTGATTGTTTTGCAATGGATAAACAATAACAAAGTCCATTTCCATAAGGAAACATGTGAGTAAATTAGTTTTATTTATGAAATTTCTGTGTCAAAACGTTTCAATTAAATATCACTAATTACTTCGTTCATACATATAAAGATAGAGAAATTTGTATATAACGATAAAAATTGTCTGAGACGCCGCTGGAAGCTTTAGTGTCACAACACAATATCTTATACACCAATCGAGCAAAGTCCATCACGAGATTGTATCCCCACTTGAATATTGTGTTTATTTGTTGTTTTTTATTACTACATACATACAATTAAACAGAATTGGCAAGTAAATCTAAATTGTATGTAGAACAATTATGACTTCGTTATATAGATTTTAGTTATAAGTACCCTACAAAAATACATATCAATTTTGACAATTACCCAGCAAAACAATGTTGAAGTAGTACAAACTGAGTCATTTTCATGATTTTTTAAAAAATAACATAAAAATCACATTCTAAATGTCTTCAAATTATTCCGCAAATTTCATTAAAACTTCAAAAATTTATTCAGAGATGCATATTAGTGTTATAACTTTATAACAAGCCACTTTGAAAAAAAAAAAAAATAATTTAAAATGAAAAAAATTTAAATTTGTTTTGGAAAGATTCAAGAAATAGATATCTAAAGACCTTTGGACAATTTTGCTAGGACCAATAGGTGAACAGTTACACTCACTTGAAAAAACCCCTATATGACCATAAAGTGCCCCTTTGACTCCCTCTAACTTCGGCAGTTCATAGCCGATAGAGTTGAAAAATTATGTCTGGCCCACTATCCAATAGTAAAAGTTTTAAAAGTTAACACGAAATTGCCCCATGTATAACCCAAATAGCTTTAACCCATAAATTATCGTTTTCGAATCATCGAATTTGATCTCCAATGACACATTTATGTTTAAATTATACCTTAATCAAACTACTTTATCTGCATTTTAACCGCTGATTAAACAACTTTGTCGTATTGTTTTTGCTGGGTGGTTGTTTATCTTTTCAACAATTTCGCACCAAATATAGAAAAAAGTTTTAATACTAATCTAAATACTAACATTTCAACAAAAAAACAGTGTTAAATTTATCCATCCAACTTAATTGAAATTAAACTATTCTTTTCAGCCCCGTTAACACCACCTCCGGTTATCGTTTAACCCGTAGATATTCTGCCGGTGAAAATATTTTTTGTATGAAAACTGTCAATCTAACCTTACGATAATATATAACCAGATATTGTGATAATGGGGGTCAGTATTTTATTTAAATTTCAATTTAACTTCTAACCTACCTCATATGAAGATCCCACACGTAGTGCTGCAAAAACTGGTAAATATACTTTGGAAACAACAATTGACATACAAAATATAGACACAATTATCAGCCAGTATTGGGTGCCAAAATTATAGATTTCCGATACGGTTCCCAAAATAGTCACTCCAGAAACATAACTTTTGAAAGGGTTACAAAATACAAAACATAGTATTATTGTATGAGAGTTTCATGCGAAATATATCACTTACCTACCAACCAAACTCATTGCAACTGGAAATATTTTTAATTTTCTTGAACCCAACAGATATTCACTCATTTTTGTTGAACCGAAATCGGTTTTAATCTTATCTTTATTGTCGACATCTTCTTGTTGCAATTCTTTGACGATTTTTTCTTTTCTGTAATTGGAATTAAATAAAGTTTATGAGTGAATCAAACTTATTAAAATAAAGTTAGAAATATAAAATCGGTTTGAAAGTACAAATTTAATATCGGACCGAATACGAAAAAAAAGATTTGAAAAATATGTAAATTAATATTTATTATAACTTTTCTTGGATAATACTATTAAAAAATTTGTAATAAAAATAGTTTCAACTTTAAAGTAATAGTTAAACCCAATGAAGCATCATTGTTGAATCATCGGCTATGCATTGGTTCGATGATTCAAAATATTTGTATTAATAAAGGATCTCCAATGATTAGCTAATGTTAGTTATAATCATGTCTGTTTCAGCTAAATCGAATTGACATCAATTGAACTTAAAAGTTCATAGGAATTCTTAAACTATTTTTATACCCTACACCACTTTAGTGTTGAGGGTATATTGGGTTTGTGCTGATGTCTGTAAAGCACAATAATATTGGTCCTATCATTTTCTGAGTCGATTTAGCTATGTCCGTCCGTCATTCCGTCCGTCCATGTAAACCTTGTAATCAAACTACAGGTAGCATTTTTGAAGATAATTCAATGAAATTTAGTACATGATCTTCTATTGTCTCCGTAACGAAGCCTATTGAAAAAGGTTATGATCGGTCCATTACTGCATCTCGCCCTCATGCAATTGAACCTCCGAAAAGGGCATGTAAACCCTTGCGGTTTGCGACCTGTAATCAAAGTACTGGTCGCAATTTGAGAATAATTCAATGAAATTTTGCACATGATCTTCTATTGTACTAGAGACGAATCCTTTTGAAAATGAATTGAACCCCCCGAATAGGGCTTTTAAGTTCATAACTATGTTCAATATACTCGTATCTCGACAAAAAGCTGCAAAACTAAGTTCTATACTAGCCTTCATGACCCTGATGAATTTTTGATGATAGGGCCTCATTTGACCCTAGTCCTATACAAAGCCCCCTTCGAAATATGACTTAAATGTACACAATTTTATTCAACAAAAAATGGCTAAAGTATATCTGAGACAAGGTACAATACACTTAAATGCTTTATTATGAACACTAAAACACATTTTATTTTTATAACTGGTGTAGGTTATTATATGGTCGGCCTCGCCCGACTATAACTTTATACTTGTTTTAAATTAAATTGAATTAAATTATATTTTAATGAACCCTCAAAACCTGTAAACGCATTCCCTAAGATTTAATTCTAAAGTTTTTTCTGAATGATTGAATTTTGACGTTTACTACAAATGATCGCTTTTAAGCCGAAAATTTTAAAACAAATGTATTTATTTTTGATCGCCTTCTGATAGAATGGTTGATATGCGTCGTATATATGTACTATGTATATTTTTTTGTACTCAGTCCAATAAAAACCCGATATTTTATTTACCTGAAATATCCATAATATATACCAGTGCTGGTTGATAAAATAATCATAGATACAAATACTAAGTAATCTGCCCAATGAAAATGGAACTTTTCAAATTGCTGATATTCCTTCATCTGGAAAATTAAAAAAATCAAATTATTAAAATATAATAAGCTTATACAATAAAAGTTTTAATAAGAAACTATTAAAGTTTTATATTTCAATCTAAAAAATAATTGAGGCATAAAATTTAGAACTTCTATCAGTAATTCAATTCAAGTGAAACATCTTTATTCAAAAATTCATCACAAGCATTATTTTAAATAATTTATTATTTTAAAACTAAAAAGCTTTTGTAAAAAATATGTATGTCATTGTTAATTCTAATAAATTATATTTACACATGTTTTGACTTAATAATTAATTATCTGTATGTAAAAGTTATTATCGTTCAACAAATTGATTGACATAAAACCCAAATTCCAAATAAAAGTGCATCACATCATATGTGCAAATCCCGAAATGTAGCCCCAAAAAATTAATTATTTTTTGATTAATAAGAATTCAAATAAACACTTTATTAAACGATCACTCTAATTGCTATTTAAAATTTAGAAAAAACATGCTATACGAATTTTGATTTTAAATTTCGCAGGAAAATACTTAAAGGTGACGTCTTCTCAGTGATGAATCCCACGCAATGTGCATAAAATACGTAATAAATGGCATGATAAACAGCTGTATATATTTTTATCAAAATATTTTATTTTTTACTTGCCACCACGATGTCTTCTAAAAACCTTTCATTGCCATACTTTTTTAAAGGAAATTTCCAAATAAAAAATATGTTTTTATTTTCTAACTGTCAAAATAATAATAATTAATCATGTGCATGTGGATATATTCGGAATTTCCACTAAAGTCATCCTAAACAATTAATTGCAAAAGCCAACAAGTTCGGAATTACCTCTAAAGTCAATTTAAACAATTAATTGCAAAAGTCAATAAGCTTGTCATTCAGTTGTGATAAATATTAAAACCATGACACACTCCCATCCATAAATTAAAATACCGTTAGGAGACTTCGGAAATGCATTTTTAGGTTAATGGTTATACATAGTCAAATATAATACGATCTGACTCTGAAAAGTATACCATGTTATTTATATCTTACTAGCTATACCCAGTGTACTTTGCTATCCTAAAAGCAATATAAATAAAAATCTCTTTACCTATTAATTTACTTTTCATGGGAGAAATCACTAACATTATACACATTTTTAAATTTTTGTATAAAAAGTATCACGACCATTATTTATGGTTCGTAGATTCATTTTCTTGAATGTTTATATGAATATAAAAATTTCCCATATACAATTTTAGTGGTCCAGCTTTTATTTATTCCCAGATATACGAATTTCAGTTTTAAGGAGTTTTGTATTTAATTCATATGGGAGGTGCCACACAACTTATTTGTAATCCTCCAATTTACTATCCAAACGTTCACATGGATGACAAAGTTTTTCGTGCAAAATTTGAGGATTCTAGTTCCAATGACGTCCCACATAAATATATTAGAATTTTTTTATATTTAATTCCTATGAGAGGTGCCACGCCCCCTATTGCTAATACGCCAATTTATTACGTAAATGTTTAAATGAATGTTGTTCGTGCAAAATTTAAGGATTCTAACTCTAAGCCTTTTCCAGATATTCACATTTTTGTATTTAATTCATATGGGAGGTGTCACGCCCCCTATTTCTAGTTCTCCCATTTTTCCTTCAAATTGTTTATATGGATTTCAATGTTACCCGTAATTCTAGCTCTAATACTTTCCAAGATATACACATTTTTGTATTTAATTCATATGGGAGGTGCCACGCCCCCTTATGCTAGTCCTCCCCTTTTTCCTTTAAATATTCATATGGATGTCAAAATTGTCCATACAAATTTTGAGGACTCTAGTTATACCATATTCCGCGATATTCTACTTTTGAAGATGTGGGCGTGGCAACCTTCCCAATTGCAATTTGAAAATAGTAGCCTATTGTTCCTTCCAGATATAGAGGAACATAAAGTGAAAATTTCAAGAATATCGCTGTGTATGCTAAGCGAGATATTGGCGGCCAAAGGTTACATATTTAGAGAAATATTCCCATCAAATATCTTGTAGCCATTTTTAAATTGCGCTATGGGCAATAAGAATTAATTAATTAAAAAACAGATTTTTGGTCATATTAGAGCGGGTTTTTGAGATGGTAATCAAATGTCAATTAATAATCAGATTAGTTAATCTAAAAATAAATTTAATCTTATGTTAATCCCCTTTGATGTTTTTGAGTACAAGATTAAACTTCGCAGTGTTGCCATACAAAACAACAGAAAATGTCACTGTTATCAAAACAATGCATATTTTATAAAAAATAAGAAGACAATTGTAAATTTAATATGAAAATTAATGAAAACTTAAATTAAAAACAAAAAAATTTATTTTGAAGTGTCCATAATTTATACTAATCAATAAATAGAACATTTTAATGTTTATATTTATAAAAATATTATTAATTTTTTTGCATCAGCTGTTTACACTTTTGCATTTCGTGCTTAAGATTAAACCACCTCTATTGGGCGCTTAAACTTGCAAACAAAATTAACTAATTGAGTACTCAAAAACATCTTTCGAGAATTAATTTTAATTTAATCGCTAATCTTTCACCTAAATATTGGCCCTTAATGGTGACTTTTAATCCCTTACTATTAATATTAAAGGTATTTTCAGACTACAATCTTAGTATTAATACTTGTCAAAAATTTTTGTATCATAATACAATTTACTAGTCTAAATATAATTTGTAATTTTATTTTCAAAAATATTACTGATTTTTTTGGCATACGGTCGGTATTCATAAATTTTTTAAAACAATTCAAAAACTTTTTATTTTCAAACGTATTCGGTATGTATTTTATAAATACAATAAAAAACAAACAAAAAGTGTAAAATACATTAAAAATAAGAACGAAAAGTGCATAAATAATTGAAAATTGGATAAAAAATATTACAAATATTATAGTGTAAACATAAAATGTATTTTTCGGATTGATTTTTTGAAAATGCGAATTATTTTCATAATATTTTTAATTTGAAGTGTGTTAATACTCAGTATTGTAGTCTGAAAATACCTTAAGGAGAAGTTATGTGCTAATTTTCATTTAGCTACCTAAAATTCCGCAACAAACCCAATATTTTCCTGGACTATAACTATTAAATTAAGTCAATGTAATCTACTATACATCCGAATACGAAAACCCAATATGTATGTATAAAAACTATCACTATTCCACCAGTATAATACCTAAACCAAGTACTTTAAGTATAGGTCAGTTTTTATATAAAAACTATATAATTTTGGTGAAAACAAAAAAATGTAATGCAATTCATAAATTTTAGACAACAACGTAAAGTTTCTTTGTTTACGGTATAAATATAGATTTTTAAAGTAAATTGTATTGGAAACTTCAAAGTCCAAGTGCAACTACATCGAAAAATAATGACAGATAACAATGTTTTCCGTATGTTTAAAATGTTAAATGCGAATTATAATATTCATTAATATTGTAAAAAGAAAAATAAATACATTTAATTTGCAAATATGTAATGTATAACCAAAAAGTGATACATATTATGTACATATGTTTGTATGCAAGTATTAAAAAAAAATTTAAATAAACAATATTGACTAACATAAAAAATGCTAAAAACGGGAGATAGTACAATTTAAACACAGGCGCTTTTTAAAAACACTTTTGCACAATATTTAATTCGACAATATTTGTTCATAGATCTTTTAAGAAATTAATTAACAATTGTATTGTATTTTTTTTTTAATTCTTGTCAACATTTTTTTATTTTGCAATTACTCTATTGATAAGAAATTTAAAGGCTTTTAAGGCATTTTTCAAAATAATTAAATACGTAATATTAATGCTAGTCTACGTTTACATTAGACAAGTGTTCTTGCTGCAAGTCTGGTTTAAAATGGAAAGTGGATAAAACTACGTATTTGACCTTCATATACAGAGCTTTCAAAGTGTATTTCAAAAATTTCCATTAGCGAATAGAATCAGGGAAAAGTATTAGACATAATTATATGTTCAGAGCTGTATTTCAGACCATACGTACATAAAATTTCGGCATCCGCCAAAACCTATTAAATTTCGGAATAAGTCTAAAACTGATTGGACAATGTGCGGGACCTTACTAAGGAAACTTTTGTCGAAAAAGAGAGAATGATGTAAATGTAGAAACCTTCTAAAGTGCCTTGGTGAAATCGTTCGAGGCAGTTGTACTGTTGAGATCTTCCCACGAGTAACAAAACGGGCCTGGGATTCTACAGTGAAAACCCACAACACAAAAAACTATAAACTATATTAGAATATACATGGAGCCAACAGCGGTTAACATACTTATAGACAGTCAAAATGTAATTAGAGCGATATAAGGTGATAAAGTTAAAATCTATAGCCGTTTTAGACTGTAAGAGAACATTAACCGCTTACTCTTCTAGAGATAAGTTTTAAATCATATGGATACTAGGGTATTTGGAAATAATCGTCAATGATGATTGAAAAATTCATACTAATTAACTGAGTAACTCAATATCGGACGATAATACCTTCATAGATCACTAAACAAGGTTTATATCACCAACATGTAAAGCAGCGCACAACATATTCGAAAGTAGTATATCTCCGGATTTGATGTAGTATAAATTATAGTATCTCGATATATAATATATTTTCATTTAATACAAACTTTTTTAGAAAATTCGGTGAATTCATATTTGGGAACCGTTACATACAAATATACAGATATTTCTCAGGTTTATCATTAACGGACTTTGAACTTTGAAAGCGTTTCTTTTTAATCGTAAATCACTGTTTTTAATTAATCAAAATCTTAATTATAAAAGAAAAAAATTTGCCCACTTCGGCGATTTTAGTGCGATAAATATTCATTAGGTTATAAAAACTAATAATTAAAATAATAATTGGTTATAAAAAAAACTAATAGCACGAATTTTTACGATAACAAACAAAAAATACAAATTTTCATCACAAAATCGAATGTTTTAGTTTATGTAACCAACTGCGAAGTATCTGCTGTAGAGAGAATTCATAACAAACCAATGAATATGAAAAATTACTATTTTTAAATAATTTCAAATGTTTGCTGAAATTGAATAGTCATCATGCTAAATTACAACAAATTCGGAAGTTCATATTAGCAAAATGTGTTTCGTTAATTTGACGACAAAAGTGTTATCAACCTAATAAAACAAATTGTTTTATAAGTGTTTTGTTGCTGTAACAATTAAAATTAAAACACCTTCTTAAGAATTACTCAATTGGTAACAATTCTAGTTATCAACAAATTTGTTTCCATAGAAATTTAATTTGAATTATCAATCTTTTAGTATTGTGAGTGAAAACGACCAATAATTTTTGCGAATGACTGTATAGAAACAATTTTCCATTTAAAATTTAATTTTCTTTTTTTTTCTCAATTTATTTAATATTTTTATTATAAGATTAAATTTACAATATAGTAATAAAAAATTAAACTATGAATCGAAAAAGATGGAAAACTAACTGCCTATTTGTTTGTTCCGCACGTTTAAAGTGGCGTGACTTTAAAATATTAAAAATTTCCACTAAAACTAAAACGATTGTCATTCGTTTTAAACGAAAAAGATTAAAAAATAGTTTAAAGATTACGTGTTCAATTTTGATTTATTTTTGTTAAAGCTATTTTAAAACATTTCATTCTTTAAAAGGTTGTGTCTTGTTTTTTTATAAATACATAAAAGAGATTTGTACTAATCTAAACATAATTAAGAAAATTTTTGATATGTACATACATTAGCTAATATGTCTGTAGACATTTGTCTAAGCTATTAAAGTGATGTCAATAAGGGAATTTTGACCGTGACCAATTTTAAAAATCGAAAGAAATCATAAAAATGTAATATCGTCTGCATTACTTAGAAGGAGTCTAGTAATGACTTACAAATAATATATTATGTAAGTACTTACTTTTTAGACTTGACATGTTTTCGAACTATATTTTTAATACAAACGAAAAATTTTTTTGTGAAAACTAATAGTAAACGCAGTGGGCGTATACTCGTAGGTAATTTTTTCTCAGAAACAAGTCTACTTACTTAACTCCCTTTTTGCAGGCAATCGTAGTAAGCCCTTACTTAACTCCCTATTTATAAGCGAGCATATTAAGTAGTTGCCTCCAACGTCAGTAGAATGGATTGCAAAATATCGAAGGCCTGATGGTCAACGCATTCTGTAAAGACTACCAGGATACGTATTGGACAGGATACAAGGATCCTAATAGGGATGCTAATGGGGTATTGTCCAATTCGAGCAGTTGTCATTAAGTGGGACAGTAATATACCGGACTATTGCAGGTTATGCGAAAATGAAGGTAATCACAATAGACCTTATGGTCTCCGAATGAAGTTGTACCTTTTTATGGTGAATAACCCTTCTTAACCTAAGCTAAACTATAGGAATACATCGGATAATTTATTAAAAGGAAATAAGTATCCTCTAAAAGTCCAACCTGTCGACTTTGAAATAAATGTTTAAACTCTGCTAAATCATCTTTCTTCGAGTTTTGCCGTTTTATTTTTTAACATTTTATTGGATCCCGAGCTAGCAAATGCATTTTATACCCACTAAAAGGACATACTTTTTCTGTGTGAAAACCATTATAGGACCTACAATAAAATAACTATGCAGTGGTGTTGTAAGACAGCGAACTAACGAACAAGAAGCCCAGGTTCGTATTCTGTGAGAATTTTTGTTTGTTTTTAAAACGAAACTACCCAGCGGGAAAAAGAGGCAGTAAAGAGGCCTAACTAAAGGCATTATTTTGCAGACACAAGCACACCCCTCTGCATTTCAAAATCATTTCAATTTTACACGGCCTGTCATTGTCAGCCAAGTGCTTGCCTTCTCGCTTCTATTAAAGGGCTGATAGAAGGCTTACTTAAAAAGGCCTATTAAACTGTCTTCCGTTGTAGGCCTATTAGAAGATCTTTCGCTGAACGCTTATAAGAAGACCTATAACGTGATGTATATAAGATGGTCTTCCGTTAAAGTCATATTAGAAGATCTTCAGTCGTAGGAAATTATTATAAAAGTTTTAGGGATATATTCATAGGAGTTTATCAAAGTTTTATAAAACAAATTTTCATAAAAAAATTGATAAATTCTTATCCTAAGACTTTTAATATAATTACTTAAGCAGACATTCTACAAAGCGTGCAGAAGCGTGGGTTATTAGGGAAGATGTTATTAATAAATTCGGCATTAAACATAAATTGGCACATGCGTATTTTTAATTATAAAAGCCTACTTTACGAGAACTTTACAACATAAAGTTTTGCAAAAGACTAAATTTTATTTGGAATGTAAAAAAATACATTCTTCTGTTTACAGGTAGCGGTTTATAAAAAAGAGCCGATTTTAGAGAACTTTGAGTACTTTTTAACTCCTATTTGTAGTTATTTGTAAGCGAGCATGGTAAGTACTTGCCTCCAATGTCATCTCCGTGTTAAAATAATGAGTTAAAATGCTAATAAATAAGTAATGAGAAGCTATTTAACTCACTACAGTTCAATGAAAGTTTTTGCTGAGTACATAGTAAATTTAGTAGATATTAAAGTGTTGTAACAAAAATTAAATATTTTAATAAAACTGGAACAAAATTCAAATAAACATGACCTGAGTTTACATAAATTTCATTAAATATTTGCCTAATGTGACCATAACTTAAAGTACCTAAAACTTTATAGTGGACTTTTACCTTTTACTGATTGTTGTTATTGTTAATTTTATTGTTATTATTATTAGTGTATTGCTTTGTTTTTTTTTTTAATATTTCAATTGTTGTTAAACTCGATTCGAACCACGACAATAATTTTTTTTATTTTTGTTTTTATTTACTTATGTATGTATGTTAATTTGAAATATCAACAACTATAACAACTTGATTCACTATTAAATGTTATGACAGACCGGCTTTATGATAGAAGAGAGCATTACACATACACAAATACTTAGACAAAAATTTCTCTTGTGATTTGTTTTTTTATTTACATGAGACCATTACAAAACAGCAAGTTGTATTTGATTTTTTAAATAGCAATTTCTTTAATTAAAAAAATATCTAGTAAATGGAATTACTGAATAATATTTAAATAAAAATAAAGTAGATTTATTAATTTTTAAATACTTTTGCTTTGCAATTTTATTTTGTTCACTTATTTCCTTAAATTCTCGTTTGTTTACAATGGAAAATTTATAACATCTAAACAAAAACAAAAAAGAAAACAGAAATCCATAAATAAAACAGTGATTGCGAAACACTCAAATGACACTTTTTGGTCTTCTATTAAAAAGTAGGTATTTCTATTAGTATTTTTCCGTTCCGTACATTCTTTTCTTTTTTTCTATTGTATCATTTATTTTCGTACAAAAACAATCTACATCCATAAATATATTTTTGAAAATTCGCTTGTATTTAGAAAAAACAATAAAATTGTCATTTTCATTTTTTACGCGTTTCTTTTTTTAGCGCAAATTTTTTGTCAATAGGTGCGAGTGTTGAAAAAGAAAATTATATGTAAATATTTTTGTTTAATGACAATGGTATTCAACCAACACAAATAATTATTAACATTTCATTTATTTTGTTTTTATTTTGTATTACACGCGTTGATTATGCAAATGTTAACAGAAATAAATATTAATAAAATTAATTGAGATAAAAGAAATTACAAAATAAATGAACGTAAAAAATCAAAAAGCAACCAAGAAACACATTTTTGTTGTTGAACTTAATCAAATCATTTATACATTTATAATCATGGTACATTTAATAGTTGTACAATTCGTACACTCAACCAAAATTAAAAAAAATCAGCGGGGTACACGGTGGTGGTGAGTAGAGTAGAAAATTTCTTTATTTTTTGTACCGTTACTCATTCAATTCACTTTTGATTTTTATTTTTTAATTATAAAGTATTTACATATAATTTTTTTAGTGAAACACACTCACTTTTTTACCGTTTTTTTTCCGTTTACCAACCTCTCAGTTGTACGTTTGAAATTACACTGATCACAGAGCGAGCCGTTTGTATATTGCAGCCAAATGAATGGGTTGGTTGTGTGGTAGGTCGATGGGAGATTTTTTCAAACCCAATATACAAAATAATAAAAATAAAAGTTTCCTGATGAGGGCTGTTAAAATGGAAATGATAAGAGAAAAAGCTTTGAATTTCTTTTCATCTTAGTACGTGTGCTGTAAAATTTGTTTTATCGATTAACCGAGAAAGAATGTTTAATTAAGAAATGTCGTTAAATTTGTATTTAAAATGTACATTTTCACATTTTGAATCGTTTTGTTGATATTTCATTAAGGAAATAATATTTTACGGTTTACAAACTCAGACTAGGATTTTCATTGATATTTACGACAACAATACAATAATGAAATGATTAAATTTGTCTGATTTAATAACATTTTATTTTTAAAGAAGGCAAATAAAAACAATAGAAAACTTAAGTTAAAATCAATTTATTAAAAATAATAATAACAAAATCAAAGTATTAAAATCTAGAAAGTGGAAAAAAAATATAAAATAATTCATAATTTACTAAATTTATAATATAGACAAACAACTAAAGTGAAAAAGATCGAAAACCCCAATCTCTATGAATACTTTTATAAAAATCTGTTTAATCCAAATATTCCCCTTTAATACTTTCGATCTTTTTCATATAGTTGTTTGTCTATATGTCAACGATTAATTAATATTAAATTAATATTAAAACTAGTATAAAAAAAGTAAAATACTTTAACATTTAAAGTATTATATAACAAGAGTTAATTAAAATAACATTTTATATTTCTTCAACAATGCCCATATCAACGAGTATTTTGGGTATATCGGCATATTGGGTATCAATTAAACGCACAACTAAGTCATTGTTAATGCGCTGAACAATTTCAACATTTAGAATTTGATCAAGAATCATAACGACCATATTTGCAATTGCACTTTTTAGACGAGTTTTTATACTATACGAATTTGATGCATCATGTTCGTCTGCCATCATTACAATAGAAAGATTAGACAAACGAAAGAGAACCGCACGCAAAGGATCTTTAAGTTGTTCTTTAGAACATTTAGCTAATTTACTTAAAGTTACCACTTCAGTATTTCCAAAATCAACATAAAAAACCTGAAATGATAATTATGAAAAGTTAAGCAAAAAGGATTGATTGATTAGTTTTTAAAACTATTAAGTATTTCTCTACTATCTACTATATCTACACATAGTAACATGGGACTTAACCTTCGCTGTCTACTAGGTTTTATCAGGGGAATTAGACATTTCTTCGACTGGATTTTAAAGGGAGATTAAGATTTAATCACATTCCTTTCTTTAGGGAATCTTCTGCATTGAAACCCTTTGAGAATCGACCTGTTTTCATTCATCTCTATGATTTGCCTATGTTCATTCTTGTTTTTCTAGTGCTTCGTTTATCTTTAGATATTCACTTTCTATGAATGAATCACTATGGTCCCTGAGTGGAGTTGCACTTTTTTATGGTGCATAACCCTCCTAAACATAACCAAACAGGGTATAGTTTATATAATTTTAAATCCTAAGCTCCCAACGATTTCATACATTTATTTAAAAAATGTCTTTTTATAAACATATTGCCAAACTTGCGTATCGGTTTCAAGCATGTTATTGAATAAATTTTCGGAATAGAGAACATTAATTTTATCAAATTGATGAAATTATGCGTTTATCATTAACTGTGTGCTTTAGATTTACATAATTTTAAAGTTATATTGAAGTTTACTGGGGGGAGATAAAATAACACTTTTAATCTTCATATATGAAGGTATAAAGGTAAGGAATCAACTTACAATAATCTAGCAATTTGAGTGCTAAAACAATGCCAACATTTTAGAATAAAAACAGTTGCAGTAAAAATAACAAACAAGCTCTAAATTTTATTTAAATTAAACATCGATGAAACAATAATAAGAAATTTAAAAAAATTATTTGATATTTACCTCATAAAGATGCTTTTGCGAATCAATATTAATAACTCTAGCACGATACCAATAATCATCTTTAACATATTGCGATAAGACAATTTCATTTAGTTGTGGCGGAGGATACAATTGTTTCTGTAACGGAGATATTTGTTGATCATGCCAAGAGAATGTTTTATAGTCACTGCAATAATCATTCTGTATGATTCCATAAAAAGATATGGGATTGACAATGTGTGTTACAACTACTTGTACTTTATCACCAACTTCATTGAGAATATTTAAACTCGGCTGTTTTGTTGGTGAAGCTTGTTTTAACAATGATCTGGGTAATTGTAATGCAGCTGTGTTTTTACTTGAATTTTCATCATCATTTTCCAAATCCTCAAAATCTAAAAATGGATTTGATTGTTTATTTCTTGTCATGGTTAAAGTATTATTGTTTTTCGTGGGTGTTTCCAACATGACTACATGTAGCACTCGATCGTCTTTATGCAATACGCGGAATGATACTTTTTCAAATTCATTTTTATGCAAGGCCTGCTCACATTTTTCTTGATCTTTAATTACACAATTCAAATGGGTATCCTCAACGCCTTCCAATATACATTTAATGGCCAGCGGAGGTATTTCTCTGTAGAGTAAAGGTGCTTCAAATGTTGTACATTGATCTGTTAATGGTATAACTTCACCAAAATCTATCAAATAAGCAAACTTTTGAGATTTGGAGGTTGTACTTTCGCTTGGTACAATTACTGCTCTCCAGACACATTCTCTCAGTGTGGTATCTTTTATCTCTAATACACAAAACACTTCGTCAGTTGGTAAAGACTCCCTTGGAATAGGTTTGAAATTTATATTGCTGCTTAAATCATATAGTGTCTTGTAGTCATCCATTTGGCAAATGAAAAATTCACGTTTTTTATAGTCTCCCACATAAACTATATAGGCATGAAAATTATAACCTTTTTGGAAGAGATCAAGACTTCTTGTGGGCAATATAACATCTAACAAATCATTAATTGTTTTATTTTTGGAATTGTTAGTAATGCATTCGCTCTGTGGCTCCTTTTGATGATTTAACAAACTGTTATTCTCGTGCTTCTGTAAAGATTCTACCATTCGGGCTTTATCATTACTAGGTAAGGTGTCTTCATTTATTTCGGACAAATGTTGAGACATTTTTATTCTACCAGCTTTGGGGCTTATAACTTCTCCATCGTGTATCGCGCCATCTTGCACAATAGAATTTCTCCATTCGATAAAATCTTTCAGTAAACGTGTTTGGGTAAAATTTGCATCATCCAAACAACCATTGGACGAAGCATTAATCACGGTCTGATCTAAATTATTAATTTCCAGTTGTATGTTAAATTTGCGAGCCATATTTAAGACAGTAACCACCTGTGTCATGTAGCGATCAAAAACAATCAGGCCAAAAATGTTAGTGAATCCTCCTCCTCCACCTATGGCATTCAAATCATTTAGTAGTTTTTGACAGCGCTCGCTTTCCTCTATGAATTTTTCCAGATTTATTTTTAACAAACTTAATTCATTTCGACACATGGTGTGCATCATAAACATTTGTTCTTTATTGGATTCCATTTAGTTCAATATAATTTTTGTCGAATATTTTAACTAAATCACGTTGTTATACCTTGCTTTAAGTTGATTTCTTAAAAGCAGAAAAGAGTGATTAGTTTATATTTTAAAATAAAATTTATTCGCACTATTTTAAAATGTTTAAAAAAATTTATTTATCTGCGCAAAGTTCCGTTATTTTTTATCTTTCATTTTGTTTTTTTTTACTGGCAACGTTGCTTTTCATTCTAATGTTACCATATTTTATTTGAAAATCGCTTAATTATTTCAGCAGTTTTTAACCCATTCACTTCTACTAAAGTTATATACATATGTATATCGGTAATAAAAAAAGGGTCAGTAGGTTATATAGAAAAAATTTACTTTTTTGAGATTTTTTAAAAATGAGGCATTAAATATACACAGAAAAAAATAATTCATATTTGGAATGAATTTTGAAATAAATTGTATGAATCGAACATGACTTTTTTTTCCCAAACCATTTTCATTCAGAATATTAAAAGTTCATAAAATGTATGAATTTGTACATGAAAGATTTTTTTGTTCATTTTCTTTGATTTTCATCAAAATGCAATAAATAAATAACCGTTACCTATTAATATCTTCCATTTTTTAGAAAATAATCACATATTAGCGAATTTTTATGATAAATAAATAAAAATGCTGGAAAACAAAATATGAAATAAAAAAAACCAGCATATAGCTAAACATCCATTCTTCAGAAAATGTTGCATGTTACGCGCATATTTCATTGTTTTCAATCTAAAAATCATAAAGAAATAAAAAATTTTCTAAAGAAAATATGAAACATTTTTTAACAAACTGAAAAATATAAAGAAAATTTTTAATATTTTAAGTCAAGGCTTCTAGATTATGTTTAAAAATATAAAAATGAAAAAATTCATACAATTTAGGAACTTATTCTTAAATATTATTAACTTTAGTCAATGAAAGCAGTTCATTATATTTATGCTGAAACTTTTTTCTGTGTATACTATCAGCCTTATTTATAGTAAAATCGTAATGTATAAAAAATAAACATTCTAAAATGATAAATAAGAAAAAACAACACCATTTCCAATTGTATTTCAGAATTTTTCCAATTGAATTTCAGAAATTTCTAATTATATTTCAGAAATTTCTAATTATATTTGAAAAATTTCTATTTATAGGCATTTCAGAAATTTCTAATTATGTTTCAAAAATACAGGCAACGAATGATATAACGAATGATATAATGTCAGGCCCTTTCGTTAAATCGAAATATTCGTTATATCGGAATTATTTTTTCTAGTAAATTTCTTTATTTAATGGACAAAAAACCATTCAAATTAATGTATGAAATTATTACTTCAAATTTTATTTCAAACAACTAATATCAACGCACACGTTTTTCCATTTTGAACATCTGAACCGATTGAAAAATTTGTGAAGGATTTTAGTTTTCTAACAACTTTAATTTCCTGCTATTTCCTTAACCTTATTTTATTATCTAGAAGATAGAATTAAATTCTTTTGAGGAAAAACTGAACTTTAGAATCGATAACTGAGTCTCATGCTGATAATTTCAAAACCCTGGAATATTGCGCCATATTGGGGTATCGAAATAATTTATTTTGCTGTAAAATTTTATTATTTCAATGTATCCCTTTTAAACACTATTCAAGCTAAATTTACCATTAAATTCACATCTAACAGAATTATGCTTTTTAGATTATAATGTAAGGAATTTTGATCGATAGGTCAGATATGTAGTATAACTAAAATTGGGAATATGGGCGACTTCTTACATTTTTACATTATATTCTAATTGCTCAATCAAGTTTTTGATATTAACAATATAAATATAAAATCAAAAGCTGGATTTTTTTAGGTATTTTTTCTTTTTATTCGTATAAAATTTCTTAAACGTTCGCTATATAAGGTAGTTAATGTCAAAAATTTGGCTGTTCGTTATATCGGATTTTCGTTAAAGTGAGATTCGTTATACCGGGATTTGCCTGTATATTTTATATTTCAGAAAATTCTAATTATATTGGAAAGTTCTGATATACAATTAGAAATGGTGTAGATTAAAATTGTTTGGTGTTATTAAAATATCTCCTGAAAATTTTGTGTAACTGACGAATATCGGGAAAAATTTACAACAAAATATAATTTTTACCTTTCTAAGATAATAAATGTGGTTTTTCTTCAAATCGGACAACGTTAACTCACGTTAGTCTTCAGTATCTTCAAAACTCCATTTTCAAACATTAAAAAACGTTCTTAAATGGAAAAATACATAATTTCCTTTATTGGATATACATACCGTTTTTTGTCCATTATAATTTCTGTGGTGCATTTATTTTCAAATAAACCATAGGGGTGAATATGTATCACTGGGCATCAGTACGTTCAGAAATGCATCACAAAAATTGTGATGCGCAAAAAACGGCAAAATTCGCATCATAGGTGTTTAGATTTTAATTTGTTTCATGAAATTAACATTTACGCGTTTTTAAACGAAAGTAAAACTCGACGCATAAAATGAGCATCAGTTTATTTGCAACATTTCCCAACAGACCCTTTTATAAACATTCACAACACGATGTAAAAAAAATCCATTAATTTTATTTACTTTTCTACCACAATCACCATGAAAATATGGTAATAGAGTAGTGATTTATTGTTTTATTTATATCCTACAATAAAAAAATCAGTTATCTTTTTTCTAATGACCACCAATTGCTTCGAAAATAAGCAATTTAAAATTAGTGCAAATCATTCATATAAAATAAGTAAAATAAATAAGAAAAAACTCTTCTTGTTGGGTGAGTATGGTATTATTGTTGTTATTCTTGGTGTTGAATATTTTTATTGATAATTTCTTCAGGGTGTTGTAAATCAAATTAGTTTTAATAATTGTTTACATTCATAAACTGCCATATATCCACCGGTTCATTTCTGGAAAATTTGTTTAATTGTTATTAGAATAAGTAAGATTGGCAGCTATCACTTAATTGCTAAAAATTTATCGGCCCTCAACTGCAAAAAAAAGGATATAAAAGTTATACATGAATGAGTTAATTTCAAGGAAAAAAAATGCTGAACGTACTGTAAGATGACAGATCGATTTCATCGGGCAATTCGGTAATATTAACATCAAATCTGTCCTGGACTTCATTTAAAATCTTGGCATCAGCCTCATCCGAAACAAAGGTAATGGCCAAACCCTTGGTACCAAAACGACCAGCACGGGCCACACGATGCAAATAGGTGTCGGAGTCCTCGGGCATGTCATAGTTGAAGACAATATTGACACGTTCAATATCCATACCACGACCGAACAAATTGGTGGCCACTAGTATACGCTTTTGGAAATCCTTGAATTGTTGGTAACGATTTAAACGCTCCTCCTGTGTCATACCACGATGAATACCAATAGCAGGGAAATTTTGTTCTGTTAGCAATTGTGCCAAAGCCATGCAACGTTGCACAGATTTAACGAAAATAACGACCTTAAAAAATGGAAATTAAATTAATAAAGCCTAATACTATAGTTTTTTTGTTTATTTAACCCACTTGATTAAACTCTAGTACATCCAAAAGTTCAAATAGTTTTTTGTTCTTTTCATTTTCCTTCAACTTAACATAATGCTGTTGCAGACCATGCAACGTCAACTTGGCTTCGTCATCGACATACACTTCCATGGGCTAAAAATTAAGGTTACAGAAATCAAAAGGATTAAAATTAATAAAACTTTTCATTATTAAACAATGTTCGCTCTACTCAAGTAAACTATTATTGTCATTTTAATTTAATTTTACTCTACATACGGCCACACTACCACCAAAACGTTCTCAAAACAAGTCTTTCGCATTCGAAAGGGGGCTTCGATTCGATCGTTAAGCACTTCGTTAGCAAATGCCGCCCACAGACACAAAAGCCTACGGAAACAGACTTTATGTAGTAATGTCTGAGCAAAAGTTGTTAATGTGTTTGTTTGTGTGAGATTGTCATTGCACGAGACTTCATCATTGGATGGACTCCAACATAGAATTTGAAAATTTTTATTGGCTGAACTTAATCTTCATTCACCAAGCTGAAGTAAACTATCGTTTAAGAAAGCGATGTTAAATATGTATTTAATTCCGATGTAAATTCTTTAATTTATGTTGAAAAATTAACGAGTTTTTCATTTTTCTTTCAGGATCATTAAGAATTGTTGTGTGAATTATCATTTAATGAGTTATAAACCGCAGTTATTTTAATTATTTATAAGCAATAATTTAATATTATTGTTTTTCGTTTTTTTACCACGTTTAGTTTTTATAATAATTTATAACTTTGTCATATCACAAAGTTTAACCGAACATTAATGAACGTCATGTTATAAGCATTTGAATGCTCTTAAACGATTGTTGAAATAGTACCCGTTTAGAAATATATTTCAATTTCATTAATTATATATACCCGGCTTTATATTTCATGTTATGTGAAAAATACAAAATTTATTGAAACCGTAAGTCGTCGCTCGATTTTTTATTTTGCAAGTCAGGAGATATGATTTGAGATTTTGCTTAGTGGTGGCGCATAACGATTAGTATTTTGTAGAACAACTAATTGGAGTAGTAGTGGTAGAAGTATTGATAGAACTATAAACTCGTTGATATTTACATCTTGCATGAATTTTTTGCAAACCGGTCGAATTTCTTTGCTTAGAGTAGCGGAAAACATCATAACTTGTTTTCCATGTGGTGTACTGCGGAATATCTCCTGAACATCGCGACGCATATCTGGAATAAAAGACAAAAGAGGAAAAGTGTTATTAACAGTTTAAATCGATGAAAAAAATATACATATTTCTAATGATATTGTTCCATTCGGAAATGCATCATTGCTCTGCATCTGATGCTCAGTGCGTTCGAAAATGAATCACAAAAATATATGATTCGATAAAAATGTTGAAACACGCATAATAAAAATGGCTGATGTGGTGTATAAGTATTTATATGTTAGTTTATTTATTTTATTTTGATTTGCATCGGTATCGCAGACTTATCATCAGATGCTGTGCAGTAATGCATTTCCGAACAGGCCTTATCTCTAATTTGTTTTGCAAAATTTCAAAAGAAGCTAAGAAATAATTGCAGATTTTTGACTTAATAGTTAGTCTTTTTTTTTTAAATTTCAGTAGTTTTGTTAAAAGAAACTTAAAGTTGAATAGTTCAGAACCTTATATCCAAAAAACAGATATCGCTAAATGGAATCTCTTTTGGAAATTAAGTTTTACTTATTGTTAAACGTTTATAAAAAGATAAGAAACACTAGCACAAACTTATTACTCTACAGCTAAATATGAATCTACATATCATTTACTTTCGAGTGTATATGTAGATATAACGTGATATTTTAATTTATCATTTCATAATAAACATTTAAAATAACGCTAACATTTTGTATCTGTACTTACCAAGTTGTTCCAACATTTTATCACATTCATCCAGAATAAAATGTTTCAAATGCTTCAAGTTCAACTTCTTATTGCGAATCAAAGCCAAAATACGACCAGGGGTACCGACAACAATATGAGGTGTAACATTTTTCAAAGATTCTTCATCTTTTTGTATGGATAAGCCACCAAAGAAAACTCCAACCTATAGATTAAAAAAAAAACATTTTGTTAATTATTGTATTAAGTCTTCATTCATTTAGTATGATTAATGAAATTTACCTTAACTGTTGGCATATATTTGGAAAAACGTTCGTATTCCTTACTAATTTGGAATGCAAGTTCGCGAGTGTGACACATGACTAGAACATAAACAACATTCTCAGTGGGTTCCAGCTGTTGCAATGTGGCAAGCACAAATACTGCAGTTTTACCCATACCAGATTTAGCCTGGCAGAGAATGTCCATGCCTAGAACAGCCTGGGGAATACATTCATGTTGTACTAAACGAAAAAAATATATATTTAATTATTAGCATTTTTAACTTCTGAGGATGCTTTTTTTATTTACCTTCCGAGGGATGCTCAAAACCACAATCAACAATAGCTCTTAGAATTTCAGGCTTTAAGAGGAAATCACGGAAACCAGAACTGTGTATAGATACGTAGGTACCTTTAACATCCTTTTTAGGTGCCTCTTGTGTTTCGGCAACGGTGGTCTCGGTTTGTTCCTCATCCTCGTAATCTAAAAGATCATCATTATCGGCCATTTTTGTTTGTTTATTTTAGCTTGCGTCAACTGTATTGAAATATTAAATAATAAAGCCGCTATTTGTGCTAGAAAAGACAAACAAATTTCGTTCACAAAAATTGTGGGTTTTTTTTCAATATTAGCACCGGCAGACGCCATTTTTAAAATACATGAGGTTAGAAAAAAATGCCTGCTGCAGTGAGACTTTTTACATTCATCTTTTTTATACTGATTTTTTTGCTCGTTTGTATCACTTTTATATTATTAATAATATTTACCTTGTAATAAATGCTTTGTCAATAATTTCTTTAATTATTTTAGATTAATTTCGCAATATTTTTTTAATAACTACGCAAGCACAATAATTTTAGCGTGTTGTGTGTCGGCTTGGTATTTTTTGCTTTTCAAAATGAACACTTTCTCGATGAATGTGTCACGGAGACTTGCGACGACAAACATTAACGGTGTCGGCGGCTGACAGTATGAATTTTGGCGGCGGCTTAAAATCGGCTATAGCTGTATGGCCACACGTCAAAATTTGATCAAAACTTGTTTATGTGTTATACCAAGTTCACACGAGCAGTTGAATTACTTAATTCGGCCTCTGAATGACGATAGCCAATTAATCCTTTTCTCCGTCACATTAGACCTGGTTCACACTGGAAAACTTTTGATTTTGTGCGTGAGAGAAAGAGATCGTTGATATTTGTTTCTCTTTCTCTCACACACAAAAATCAAAAGTTTCCCAAAAAAAGTTATCATAAATACCCGATAAAAATTAGAGATGACGCTCATTCATTCGTAATTCGTAAGTAATTCAAGCTGAATTACGTACATCTTGTGTAATTCGCAGCAGAAATTGTTTATGGCGAATCATGTAATTGAGTACGTAATTGGGGGTTGAATGACGAATGAGAGCGTGAATGACGTATAATTGCACTGTCTGAACGGGGTATTAATAATTTGTTCCAGCAATCATTGAAGAGAAGAAGCATAAATTCGTTTTTATTTAGTTTTTAACAAAGTATATTAATAAAGTAGCATCACTTGAACAGCTGTCTATTTTTTTAAACTAGATAAATGCAGAAGTTTTCAAAGTTTATTTTGAAAATTATCAACATTGTTTATGTCGCCTTTTTTAAGTTGTGTTTAGCTATTTGTGAAAAGTTGAAAAAGTGAATGAAAAGTGGTTGTTGTAGATGTTGTTGTATATGTTGTTGTACAACAAGAGATGTCGCTTCTTTATTAATATATACTTTGGTTTTTAACATGATTTTCACACTGAACACCTTTTTTATTTTTCAGCAATATAAAATTTTAAAATACTTAAAAATTATAAATATATTATAAATATTTTTTAAGTTTATAACTTTGAATTTTCATGATTTAGAGATTATTTTAACAATTTAAATTTATTTCGAATATAAGTGTGAGAGAAGAGAGATGGTTGATATTTCTTTCTCTTACACAAAAATCAAAAGTTTCCCAAAAACAGTTTCGCTGTGTGAACCGGCACTAAGTTGGATTTTTCAAAAATCTTTGTCAAAGTTTTGAGCTACATTAAGTGAAACTTTTTTTTGGGAAACTTTTGATTTTGTGTGTGAGATAAAGAGATGTATGACATTCGTTCAAAAATCAAAAGTTTTCCTGTGTGAACCGGCAATAACAAGTTTAAAATCCAGGTGTGCAATTTTATCTAAACTAGCAAATATAACATTTTGGGTCTAATCCAAACATGTAGTTCTAACGAGCTTTGAAACATAAGCAAAAAAAAATTAATCATTGGATTATATACAAGCAGTAATTTTTAATTATTGTATTCTACATGCCAAGTCACGATCACTTGGCTGTTCGAAAATGCATCACTGCACAGCATCTGATGATTAGTTTGTGATGCTGATGCATATAAACTGATGCTGATTTTAGTCATAGAGGTTTACTTTCGTTTAAAAACGAGTAAATGAAAATAGAGTTCTTGAAACTAATTAAAACCTAAATATCTACATATTTATCGAATCAGTGCCACTTGTGTTTTACCGTTTTTTGCGCATCATAATTTTTTGATGCATATTCGATGATGCTGCTGCACCGCAGCCACATTGGTTTTAAGCGCGCCAAAAATTGGCGCGATTTTATAAATTACTGCGGCGACGGCTGACACTTAAGCCGGCTATTAGTTGAAGTGGACTATTTTTTTTTCAAAAAAGTTGGGTAAATCAACTATCTGTAGGGAAAAAGTCGACTTTGTGAATAAAAAAAATAAGTGTACTTAAGAAATCAATTAAATACAGCTTCTATTTTTATTGCAAACATTTTAAAAGTAAACGTTTTTTTAATTTCTTATAAAAATCAATGTCACCTTCCATATGAATTAAGCATTTTGAAAAATAGTTGAACTATCCCAGTAGGATTTTGAGTTAACTCAAAACTAACTTATGGTTAACCACAAATGAGTCAGAGGTGACTCAAAAGCTAACCATTTTGCTTATAAAATACTATTCAGTTTTTCAATGTGATGTCATAGGAACGAGTCAGTACTCACTCACTATACATCAGTTTTAGTTAACCAGAAGTTACCTCAAGATGAGTTAGCTTCTAGTGCATAAATAAAAGATCAGCTGTGAGTTACCTGTGCAATTTTCTTATATTTTTATACTATTTTTAACAAATTGTTAGTGATTATAAATGCGTTCAATATGCAGCAACATTTCCTTCCTATATACACCATTATCTATGTCTTATATTCCTGAAAATGTTAATTTAATAATAATAAATTCATTTTTCATTGCTGAAACAAATTTTCATTTTCATAATTTCATTTTTTCAATACAAATTGTTTGACAAATTTGATACGAGTTTCTATTTTATATTTATTTAAAATTTTATTGAAATGTTTGTTCATTTACTCGATCATTTTTGAGTTACTTTGAAGCTTGTCATAAAAAGTTATCAAAAAGTTAACTTGATTTTTAGTTAACTCACAAAATCCTACAGGGATATAACGAGCGTTGCATATACATATAATATATTAAATACTAAAATTCGTATATATGAGAATCTATAAAAGCTAGAAGACTAAAATTTTATATGGGAAATTCCATATAAACATTTATAAAAATGAATAAACGAACCACAAATATATATGTATTATGATAGTGTTTTCACCCATGAAATCTAAATATGAAAGGTACAGATTTTTATTTATATGGCTTTTAGGGTAGCAAAGCAAAATGGATATACAGTGTCTCTCATAAGTATTCGAATTTAGGTAAACTATGAAAAAAAACCAAATTTAATAATATATTTTGTTTGGAAAATAAATAAATTAATTTGTTATATTGTCTAGATAGTCCTTAGTTTTGATATCACGCCCCTTAAAACTTGAAAACTTTACATTTACTTAAATTAGTTGTGCTTTTTTTAAAAAAAGTCCATGAAACTACTTCACAAAAGTATGCGAATTTTTCCTGTATTTCATATTTGATCATATTATACGATACACAAATTTTAGAATCGCATGGTTTTATGCTTAATATTGTTTTAAGGGGTTACTATCAACCGCATGGATATATTTTTGACCCATTTGGTCCACAATTTTGTGGAATTTGTATCCTCTTTTCATGTAATATCATTAAAATGGCGATTTTTGGCTATATTTGTATGTTTTCACCCTTTTTCCAGAGATAAAACCAAAATTTAATATTGGAATTTAATAGAACCCATAGGGTATCTAAAAATAATATTTTTTGTTATAAGGATCTGTACTTCAACGTTCCAAGATGTATTTTTGGTATCCTTTTTCAGTTTCTAATTGAATTATCTGGATCATAAGTCCCTTTTCGTACCTCTAGGGACGATATTTTCCGACAAAGTTGTCTAGTGTATATTCATGCACATATTGGCACTAATGTATTTTAAATTTTCAATATATTATAGCGGTATACAACCCCAAAACATGCCTTAACAAAACGTCATCCTATATAGTAGATTTCAGTTTTTACTACTCGTAACTTTCACGCTTATGTTGCCCGTTACAATAACACTGTAAGTCCTAAATTTTGGTTTTAATTTGATCATAGTAAATAATATTTAAACACATATCAACATTTTTGATGTGATCATAATGATATCGTGCCATGCAGCATGGAGGACATTGGTATATAAAAATAATGATTTTACTGTTTTGAATGGTGCTTCTTCGAGGCATGTTTTGGAGTTGTACACTTCCACAACACATTGAAAACTTAAAATGTATAAAAGCTGATATCTAAAAGAATATATACCAGAAAACTTTCCCCGAAAATAGTTGATCCTAGTATTATAAAAATGGACTTAAGTTCCAATATATTGAATTAGCGACAGAAGAATGATCCGAATAATTTATCTTGGAACGTTTAAATACAGATTCTTGTAACAAAAAATATTATTTTTAGATACCCCAAGGGGTCTTTTAAGTCCCAATATCAAATTTTTGTTTTATCTCTGGAAAAAAGGAGAAAAAATTACAATTATGGCCAAAAATCGCCATTTTAATGATATTACATGAAAAGAGGGTAAAAATTCCCCATAATTGTGGACCAAATGGGCCAAAAATATATCCTTACCGTGGATAGTAACCCCTTAAAACAATATTACGCATAAAAACCATTCGATTCTAAAATTTGTGTTGCGTATAATATGATCAAATATGAAATACCTGAAAAATTCGTATACTTTTGTGAGGCAATTTCACGGACTTTTTTTAAAAAAGCACAATTAATTTAAGTCAATGCAAATTTTTAAGTTTTAAAAAGCGTGATATCAAACATAAGGACTATCTAGACAATATAACAAATTAATTTATTTATTTTGCACACAAAATATATTATTAAATTTGGTTTCTTTTTATAGTTTACCCAAATTCGAATAATTATGAGAGACACTGTAGCTAGTATGTATTATATGTATGTATGTGTATAAAAACAAAACTTTTACCTTACTATCGTTACCCAGCAGTTCGGGCGGACAGTCCCGAACTCCCTATTTAGCCTACCACATAGGTTTACCCCTAGCCACCGACTGTCCAGGTGACTAGCTATTTTAACATGTGCTTGTCCTACGAGGAAGTCAATCGTCACCCCATAGGTTACAAAGAGACAGACAAGTGTTTTTTAAGTGTCCCCTCTCTCGCTTACAAAGGGGACACTAAAGTGACGATTACCTTCACCCTCGTTTACAAAGAGTACATCCGTGACGAAAGACGAATTAGAGCCCACCAGGTGGTTTAACATAAGTGGAAATCACTGTCTTTTTCCTATGCATTGACTCTTTGTCGAACTGCAGGGTACTGCTAAAATACTATTACCGAAATAATGCAAATTAGGTTATCGTTGTTATCCTATTCACCATTTCGAAGCGATTGTCAACATTGAATTTAATGAAAATATCGTAAAACGACTAATGTATCAAACTCTACGAAATTTGAAATATATTTTTTAAAATATTTACTGTAGCAGTATTGTAACGTACCATGAATATTATACATATTCTTGATAATGTCTTTAATAAATTATTAAAATTGTTCTATAGCCTATAAAATCTGCGTTATCACTGACGCAAACAATTATTGTTTCACTCGTTATGTTTTTTAATCCATGAAAAGTTGTTAAAAGGATTTTGATATGTTTCTTAAACAAACAGCTCGTAATTAAATTAAACAAATTAAAATTGTAAAATTTAAAAATTATTTCGATTTATTAATCAAATCAAGGCAAATCACAGCCTCTTATCCAGATTTGTATATAAAAAGGAAAGCTATATAAGCACAGCTTATTGTAAAATAAAAGTATTAAATTAATACTAATGACAATTACAAAAAATAATACAAGTTTTAATAATTGTGGCAAAAAACCAAAAACTATTACATTTTGTAAAATAAGTTTAAAGAAAATTGTAAATTTTCCATAATACGTAATAGTTCTCAGTTGTTGATGGAAATGTATAATAATATTTTTTTAAAGTTTTAAATTTCTTTTTAGGCAATAACATTTCGAACAACACAAAATATAGTTTGAGTACAACTCATTTTTAAGAACAAAGAACTGTTTATGTTGCTGGAAATGTAATAAAAAAAAAGAAAAAAGGAAATAAAATATAACCACAAAAGTGATTGTTGGGATATAAATTTCATGGCAACTTCATATCAAATGAATTATGATTATAATGTAATAATAAAAACAAAACAAAAAACATAAATGCAGATGTATAACTAAGCTAAAACTACAACTAATAAATACTAAATTTGGCCACATGAGATAGACAAACAAGACAACATTAATACAGTCTAAAACTAAAACAAAGTAATAAAATAACATGAAATTGGAGTGTTTATCGTCTTGAACGTTTAGTGGGTGGCTCTATGAAATTTTCTTGGTCTTCTGTCTCCATTGGTTCGATATTCATAAGTTTGTTAGCTGTGCGCAACATGACTGGATCTTTTAGCCACATGCTTTGCAGAACATCATCAATAGTAGGCCTACGCTGAGGGTCTACGATGAGCATGTTTTTAATAAGAGAAGTTGCGCGCTGAGAAACCTGTTTCCAGGAGGGATGATTGAAGCGAAATTGCCCTTTTTTAATTTGATCACAGGCTGGCGAACCATAATCATCAGAAAATGGTAAGGTGCCACTCAAACTACAAAATACATAAATTTGGAATTAACTGCGTAAATTTATTTGTCGCATATTTTTACATACCAAGTAAATAGAACAACGCCCAAACTCCAAATGTCAACTTTTTTGGTATAGGCTCCTCGACCACCAGTTAGCAACACTTCTGGTGCAACATACAGAGGTGTGCCACATAGGGTACGCATTACAGAATCTTTCTGTACAAACTTACTCAAACCAAAATCGGAAACCTTCAACAGTGTTTCTTCATCGGAAGTCTCAAGTAATACATTATCTGGCTTCAAATCTCGATGAGTTATGCCTGTAATGGAAGAAAATTACCATGTAATCGATGGTATTGAATGTATTGAAATGTATATAAACCTTTATCATGTAAATATTTAACGGCATGGCACATTTGATAGAAATATAACTTTGATACTCTTTCCGATAAACGCTTATTGCTTACAATGCGATTGAGTAAATCTCCGCCTTTCATAAATTCCAAAACCATATATACAGAATCGGGCTTGTCAACAATATCATGCATTTTAATAACGCAAGGCTATTTATTTAGAACATAAAAAGATTATTTTAAGCGTTTTATATAGTACATTACAAATTGTTTCCCTTCTACTTTCCGATTACACAAATGATTTACAAATCTATTTTCATCTGCACTTTTTCGGAATTTAGAACAGCAACAACAAATATGTATGTGTCTGTTTCTTACATGTTCCAAGCTTTTCATAATTTTAGCCTCATTCATCACCCGATTTGGATCATTTAAATGATTTGGATTTGTACTAGTTGCCAGCATATTTTTCTTAACAATTTTCATTGCATACTGTTGACATGTTCGTCGATCGTAGACTAGACGAACTAAACCACAGGCACCGGAACCTAATTTTCGACTTACATAATAATTGGAAGTGATATCTGTGGGGAGACCCATAGCCTCATTTGGACTGAGGTCTTTGAAAACAAAAGCTAAAATGTATAATTTTTGATAATATAGAAATATTTGCATTATAATTATATAAAAACATTTAGAACCTTTATAAGTGGGATGTGATAGAGAGATAATATCATCATTTTGTAATATGCGTCGTCGGTTGGTTCCAATTCTTTCACTATTCACAAAGGTACCGTTTCGAGACAAGTCCTGAAATGTTTTAATTACATATATGAAATAAATATAATACACTAAGTTGGTTGGACATATCCGACAATTTTTATAATCTTTCTGCTCAAGATTTTCTCAACATCCTATGAAAATATACGAAAACTAACAAAAACAACAACGATAAGAAGTGTTGAATATAAAAGTTTACTACATATAAGGAATGCCAATAAACAATTAGGGTTCATTCATTTGGATGGATGTTTATACTATTGTAGTTTAGAATCATTTGGAAAATATTCAAGTTAAAAATAAATTTACCTAACTTTTAGATTGACCTCTTCAAATATGTATATAAACGTATGTGTTTAACACTTACCTCAATATAAACTGGATTGGAAAGATCACAATCTGCGCGTGTAATGGTAAAGTGAACTTTGGAGATGCGACATAAAATCTTTTCCGGCAAATCGTTGAGCGTCAATATTAAGTCATTGTTTTCTCCTCGTCCGGCCGTAAAAGTTTCAACATTTAAATCTGTATAATAGAAAGTGACAAAAAAGTTATCTAGGTATCGATACTTTTGTTAAGGACAAAATCTAACAACATCACATGGATCAGTTTAATAAATACAAATGAATATTCTTAAGAAAATAACACAACTACACTTAAAACCAAAGAAAAAACACAAACACAACATAAATGTTACCGACAGAAAAAGACGTATTCAGATAGAGAATTTTATAGGGTCTGTTGCTCGTACCCAATGATTTCACTTTAATATTCTTGCCATACAAACGGCCCCAAACTATATTGTCCATGGGCTGGCTCTCCACTTGACTCCACAGATTAGAAGCCTGGCTCTGTGTAGCACCTTGAGTTTGTGGCTGCTCTACGGGCTCCCGTTCGCGTACCATCATTTGGCTTCCTCGTTTTTTGTTGAACCACGATTTGATGTTTCTAAATTTAAATAAATTGTTTGCAGTTTATATGAAGTTCTTTAATTTATTTCAGTTAAGGCACAAATTCGCGACTTTTAAACAATATTTGCAACATAGAAGATCGACACAAAATAACTGTTTACAATTTCGCAGTTATGCTGCTATGTATTTTTTTCTTTATTTCGATGTTATTCTTCTTTCCTGGTAATCGGTTTTTTAAGTAAGTACAACAAAATAGAAGCAGCAAACAAAAGTAGAGTTGAAGATGAAAATAAAAAATGCCGCCAAATTTGATTGTGTTGATAAGATTTGTAGAGTTGCATTTTTGTTCAGACATGGACATAATTATGTTTTGACATTAAAACGTTGGTGGCAACATTCGAAACAGGGAACATATTCAAGAAAATAGGTTTTATTAAATTATAAAATTTGAACCAGATCCGTACTCGATTTTTTAATGTCGATAAAAATATTTTGAATAATTAAAATAAAGTTGACACACAGTTGTGCAAAAATTTTGTAAAAACTCTAAATTATTAAAAATTTCCGAACTCATCACCTTCGTGAGATGTTTGTCATTGCGTTTGTAATTTTTACAATATAGTTTTTCGACACTATAAAGTACATATATATGTATATTCCGAGCCCTTATATAATCGATTTAGACATTACCCTCTTCGTATGTAGTTTATATTAGTTTTCAGAAGACCCCAGATATCTGCGAAATCTTTCTATCAGGGATTAAATTACCATGGTATTTCTACTATTAGAATCGGTTCAAAATTTTATAAAGCTCTTATACAAAATTATCTACTCACGGAAAATGGATTTATTGTTAACAACTCACTTTAAATATGGGTATTACGATAAAATTTTGCACATATGTAAATACATATAAATTTAATATCAATAGAAATCGTATTACCAACAAAAACCTGGATCGGTTCATAAGGTCCACTTTTGATAACAATTAAATTATTATAATACATTAACAAATAAACATACATATGTCGGTCAGAATTTAACACGAAAAATCCGGATCGGATAATTGGTCATATCTCCCATATGAAGTCGTCTTCTGAAAATAACATAATAACATATCGGGATAAAGTTATACATTAATATGTATTGCACTTACTTACTAACTGTACATTAGAGTGTCCCGAGGAACAATCTTTTTAAGAATTTCATATAGGAATACCACTCAATCGATGCGTATTAATGTACTGAACACGAGAAAAATAAAAAAATATTTTTTTTGGTCCTCAGTTCCCTACCAGCGATTGAAAATCCTGAGCTCAGTTAATTTTTAAAAAATAAAATATTCTTGATTTTTTCGAAATTGGTCTCACAAATTTCAAAATTTTAAGCTGATTACGGGAAAAATAATTTTGAAATTTTTGGTCTCCGGTAGGTTAGTGGTTAGTGTTCTAGTCTGGTAGACCGGAGGTGGTGGGTTCGATTCCCACCTGAGGCACTGGTTAAGGAGCGCACAACAGGCCCGATAGAGGCCTAGGTGTATTTCTTCGGATTTGATGTGTATACATCCTCCTTTCAAACTAACTAACTTGGTCCACAAAATGATTTTTAGTGGGTAGGAGGGGCACATTGTTTTCGCTTTTTATTGAAATGGGTGTGAAAATTGTCGTAATTTTTAGCTCATAGTTTGGTTTAGTTCATTTCAGAATTTTTTAAAATTTCCTGAAATTTATAAGCCCTTTATAACACAATAAAAGTCGTTTTGCGGACCAGAAATATACTAACAAACATTTTTATTATTTTTCCCGCAACAAGCTTAAAATTTCGGAATTTTTGACACTCAATTCGAAAAGATTGCAGAAAATTTGTTTTGAACATATTGTACTGAGATCAAGTTTTTCAATCGCAGGTAGGGAATTGAGGACCTTTTCAAAACAATTTTTTTTTATTTTCTCGTCTTTCGTACATTGAAAGGCATCGTTTTAGAGGTATTCCTCTTAACGTGGCACCATTCTGTACATATTTATGTACAGTTAGTCAAGGAATTAATTAGAATAAGAAAATGTTTTACGTTTTATTAAATCAAAACGTAATTATCAAATAAGTTAGTTGTTTTCTTATATTTTTTAATTACATATATGAATGTATATTTAGGACATGTTTTTTTGAATTATAATTGATGAAAAAAATCATAATTGATGGAATCGAATCTGAAATATGAAGGTTTTTTTTTAAAGATTACATTTTGGTAGTGTCAAACAGTATATGGAAACAGTTAAAATTCTATATAAGCATTTAGAATAAAAGCATTGAAATAAAGGGAAAGAAATATTTTCATTGTGATGCACAAACATACGTCGAAATACGCATCATAATAATGGCGGTGAATGGGGTAGATATTAAGATTTTTATTTATTTAATGAACTGAATTATTATTTACATCAAATGAAATTCTCTCTATGCGTATAATACGCATCAGGTAATTCTCATCAGTATCGCAAACTAGTCAATTCATACAGTGCAGTTAAACATTTGGGAACAGGTCTATCTGTGATTGTATGTACTTATACAGTGCTTAGAAAACAGGCATGGGGGGTAATGACTACATTTTCAATTGCAATTACTTGTAATTATAATTGAAGTTTCGTCAATTACAATTACTTGTAATTGTAATTGAAGTTTCGCCAATTACAATTACTTGTAATTGTAATTGAAGTTTCGCCAATTACAATTACTAGTAATTGTAATTGAAGTTTCGCCAATTACAATTACTTTTAATTGTAATTGAAGAATTTCCAGTTACAATTACTTGTAATTGTAAATTTTGTTCCTTACAATTACATGTTATTTTGTAATTAGTAATACCTAAATTACAATTACAAGTAATTTTAATTGGAAACTTCAATTGTAATTACAAGTAATTGTAATTGGCAAAACTTCAATTACAAGTAATTGTAATTGGTTATTGATCAATTACATATTACAAGTAATTGTAATTGGAAATACTTCAATTACAATTATAAATAATTGTAATTGGTTATTTCTCAATTACACATTACAAGTAATTGTAATTGACCATGTAGTGAATTACTTTGTGTAATCATTATCCCCCATGCCTGTTAGAAACAATAAATTCTATTTATATAAATAGAATTTATTCTTGAATTCAAGTTTCCTTTTCACTGGAGAATGCTATTGAATTAAAGTGTAATGCAAGTGTATTTCAACCTTTGAAATTTGAATGTTTGACTGGAATTAAATTTGATTTACACTTGAATTCCAGCAAAAATGCTTATTGGGTATATTTCATTGATTGGAACGGCCGAGAATGACTTCGAGTTACTCTCGAAGTCATGTAATGGTATCTAAAACTATTATTACCGAAAAAAAAAACAAATTTCTATGCTGATTTTATTTCCAAACAAGAAATTCACATTTTTTTATTTTTCAATTGCAAAAAGCAATTAGGTATAAGCATTTATTTTTCTTGCAATAGCTTTTTAATTTTGGAGGTTACTTAAAAAAGATCATAAAAGTAATCTAAACCTTGTCCCAATTCCCAAATTGATATACCAACGCCCATTTTTTGTGCAAGTTTAATGCGCTCATTTAAGGAGTACAGTGTAGGATAAAACACATAATGACGACCAGTATTTGTTCTGCAAATAAGAAAATGTTATTAGATAAATCGATAAATAAACATATATTTCTGTCATCTATACCTTATTTCAAAAAAGTTTTCCACATCATTCTCATCATAAGTTAAACGTTTTTTAAGGTTGCGCAATAAATCCAAATATTGACCGGCAACGATTGGACCACCACCATCTGGTGTATAGTCATTACCGTACATATTCAAACCCATAAGAATCTTTTTTCGTTTTTCCATCACATCGTTTGTATTGTCAGGAGCTATGTGCTCAATAGACTGTTTAATCCAGTGCAGAGGGGAATTTGCTCCAGGTCGTTGAACCGTAGAGTAGTCATATGTCATTAATGAAAAGGCATACACATGCTGGTACAATTTATCCATGTGATAATCATTAAACATATTAACCAGCTGAGGACGATAGGGGGGAATAACTAAAATAAGTTTTAAATTATCCTTAGCTAATGCCTTGCTTATTGAAATGGCAAGTTTTTGTAAGAACTTATTTGCTACACGGCCACCAAGCTGTAGCCAGTATTCGAGAACAATGCCTTCAAATTTGTGCTGTACACAGGTTTTTCTTAATAGTTCGGAGACTTTTGCTATCTCTTGATCGGATGAAAGTAGTAGTGTAAAGTCATTATCACTAAAATTTTCAAATAGAAAACGAGGAAAGACTATAGGGGAATAAGAAATGTGTGTTAAAGTGTCTTCCACATTCTAAATATTAATTTTAACTTACATTGCATAGATCTTTGTTCATTTTTTCCTTTTGTTCGCACATCTTTCATCCATCTGGCATCAATGTCATGGAGTCCATTTACTTTGTATTTACCATCTTGTTTGACAATTTGAAACCATACCGGCGATATGAGGTCAAATTTCTTTGCAAATGTTGTTGCTATCTCGTAGCCATGTGAATTCCACTGTGATTTTTAAAATGTACAAATAATCAATAATTGAACAGAAGAATAATTTGCAAGTCATAACCACATACCGGTGTCACAAAACCCAATACAGTTCCATTGAAACGACGAGCAGTTGTATCTTTATAATATGAGCCGCTATTAATGAGTATTTCTTTGGCCGAAGGTTCTATATCAATTAAGTCCAAATCAAAAACGCTTTCATCTCTTGGACCGGTTTTTACTTTCAGTGGTTTGGGTTGTTTTTGAGATTTATCTCCCGGCGATATGGTCGCGTCTACTTTACCAACTAAAAGGCAAGTAAATATAATCAATTTTAAGGTTAATATTTTCCTTTCCTTTGTTAACATTTTTGAGATAAAACAAATAAGTTAATCAATAACTTATTGGAATGTTATAAATTTCATCAACACTTTGTTGACTTTCTTCATTGAGGCCACGTAAATAACGACCGGGCACTTATTATTGTTGGTTTGTTTTTAAAAAATTCGTAAACAACTTCATTATTTTTTGTTTCTTTGATTTGTTCTTAATATGTGTTGCCAATGTAGAGATTTTGTCGTACAATCTGGTGTTAAATTTGTTTTTTAAAGTATAAAGTAAAATTTGGA